TTGTGCAGGTGTTCCTCCTTGCAAGAATCAATCCTAACTCTTTTCAGCACTGGAAAATTCACCACAAAAACTCAAATGCCCAAACTACTACATCAGTATGATTTATACTACTAGAAAGTATGATCTTTCCATCATACTTCCACATCCTGAATTTGCAAAGCTTTTGTTTATGTATGCAGTATTAAGGAAAAAAAATATCTGAAGCTTTCTAGCAAAATGGCCAGCACTGGCAGGATGCTGGATATGGGCCCTTCAGAGAACGCCCTTAGAAACAACGAGGCAACATCTCAGAGTTTGCAAGGGAGAAACGTAGTGGATTGGAATTACTTTTAAAAAAGAAGAAAAACAGAAAACTGATTAAATCAAACTTGTAAAGCACTATTTATCTGCCTACAAGACTGGTGTTTTCTGATCTGTCGAGCACAAGAGTCTAATAAAGTGGCATTAAATTACTTTTTACATTATAATTACTTTCTACATTAACAGACAGCTGTCTAACTTTGACTTTTAAGTTATTCCTAAAATAACTTAATTCCTCCATGTACTTACTTTTCCAAAGCTGGACAAGTAATTGAAGGAATTACAGCAATTTAAGAAAAATATGACATTCCAAACTAATAAGGCATAACCTACAAACACATTTTCTACACAATTTGGAAAGAAATGAACAAAAAGAACATTAAGTGGAGAGCACATTATAACAACTGCCTATAACTAATTACTTTAATGATATACCATAATGATATACCATAAGACACTTCACAAGACACAGAGACACAACTGTGGAGGGTAACAGGCAGCATTTTCTTATAGAGCCAAACGTTACAGAACTCAACAACTACACTTCTACGGAAGTTTTCTGCTAGTATTTTCCTTAAAAAAAGTTTTCCTCACATATCACAGATGCTGTTTGAGGTTGCATTATTTACAGGCAAATGTTTAAAAAACTGGTTTATTTCATTAAGATCTGACATTTCAAAACAGATATATATTTGATGTAACATCTTAGCAACTTCACGAGGACAACAACCTGACCTAAAAGGTAGTGCAGTACATTGACACAAATGCTACTACATTAAAAAAATCATTAAGAAGGAAATAGGAGATCAGATTTTTGACACTCCAAAACCAGTTCTGAAGCCTTCGAGGAGTCAGATATCACCTACTGAAATTTGGAAAGCCAAATAATCCACATATAATCATATACAAGGGCAACGCCAAGATATAAAGCAGTTTTCCTGCTTTATATATACATATATACATACATATATTGCAGGAGAGAACAAAGCCCATACTATACATTAATAAAACAAATTCTTATCAGAAATCTCTGGCACAGATGGCTGCAAAGTCCAAGGACCATTTACAGAAGCTAATAATGTAATACTCACAGGCTTCTTGTAGGAACTTTTCTCTAACGCTGTCTGAGGTGCAATTTTTGCATGTTTTGATTGCTACAGCCATAGCTGGATTTTCCTGAAAGAGATTCAGAAATAACTAAAACACAGACCACATAAAATTAGGTCTAAACCTCCAAAAAAACTGATTTAGAGAAAGTGAATATTAACTAGAATACCTTTAGTTAAGAAATTAAATTTGAAAGTATCAATGTTAAAAATGTTATTATAACCGAGACATTTAGTGTGCATTTACATCTAATTAAAATTTTATCTGTTTTAAATTACGTTAATTCATACAGAAATTCTGACAGAAGATGATTAAGTGTGCAGTACTGTAAATGTTCCAGCACTACAGAAGATTAGAAAGGAAGCACAGTTAGCAAAAGCAAAGGGAACAAGTAGATACATGCCTGAAAAACACACTTGGCTTCTGCAAGCAACTTGGAAAGCCAAATAAAGGGCTTTTTGTGGCTTTTTGCAGTGCAAAGACCAGCTATAATTTTTGACTGACTCAAATCCTTTATACAAAGCAGACTGCTAACAGGATACAGACTAAGTCAGCTTTTCAACTGAATTCAAACTACAAAGAGAAGATTTTATACATTAGCTTCACAGCCAGTTACACCAAGAGCTTAAAACTGAGTTTAACAGAACACATGTATTCCAAAGCAGAAACAGATTTGAGCATCTGATTGCTTATCCTCCAAATACAGAAAAATGAGAAGCTCTCAGACAGCCCAAAGGAGGTCTCCTGGCTCAGGAGGAGGCTTTCATCTTATCTTCCTTTGGTGCGTCCTACAAACACTCTTTTCTAAGTCACAGACAGCACTGAGGAGCTGTAAGAGCATTTCTTTCCTAGAGGAGCTCTAGGCATTCTGTCTTCACAAGGATTCAAAACACCACAATTTACTTGGAAAATGATTTTTTTTTTTTTAAAGTTTAAATCTCTATTTGGCAAGTGCAGAACCTGCATAATGAGCTGGAAAGCTCACGTACTGCTGGCTCTCACAAGAACAACTGCATTAAGTTGCAACAGAAGCTGCTCCATCCACGAGGAGCTCCATCTGCTCCAGCACAGCACATCCCCACTGCTGCATCCCAGGATCAAGCGTCACTCTGACGATTGTTAATGAACTGGAAAAGCAGGTGAAGTGTTTCAAAATTAATTCTGATCGAGACCTGACAAAGGATTAATGAGTTCCCAAAAATTGCAGCTCTGAGGAGAAGCACTTGGTGCTCTCTGGTGGATGAAAAGCCAGACACAAACCAGCCTGGAAGGTCAACAGTATCCTGAGCTGTACCAAAAGAGGTGGCAGCATGGATAAGGAGGAGGTTGTCCCCCTTTGCTTTGCCTTTGTGAGGCCACATCTGGAGTACTGCGTGCGTCCAGTCTGGAGTCTCCAAGACATGGAGCTGTTGAGAGTGGGTAAAGAGAAGGAGCATGAATGTGATCAGAGGGGCTGGAGTGCTTCTCAGTCTGAAGAAAGGTTGGAGGAGTTGGGCTTGTTTAGCATGGAGAAAATAAGGCTCCCGGGAGACCAAACTGAGGCATTCAAGTTCCTAAAAGGAGCTTTATAAGCAAGAGGGGGACCTACTGGGCAGACAGTAATGGGACAAGGGGAAATAGCTTTAAACTAAAAAGAGGGAAGACTTAGACTAGATATCAGAAAGAAATTCTTTACTCAGAGGGTGGTGAGGTGATGGAACAGGCTGTGATTGCACCATCCCTGAAGGTGTTCAAGGCCAGGTTGGACGGGGATTGACCTCAAGAGGCTGGAAAGGTGGGCCCGGGTGAACCTGATGGGGTTCAACACAGCAAAGTGCAGAGTTTTGCACTTGGACCGGAGGAATCCCAAGCATCCATACAGACTGGAAGGAGGGGTCCTAAAGAGCAGCCCTGTGGAGAAGGACCTGGGGGTCTTGATAGATGAAAAACTTAACGTGAGCCAGCAGTGTCCTGGGCTCCATCAGAAGAGGGGTGGCCAGCAGGGACAGGGAGGTGATTGTCCCCCTCTACTCTGCTCTTGTGAGGCCCCATCTGCAGTACTGTGTCCAGGTCTGGAGCCCGCAGTACAAAAAAGACAGAGAGCTGTTGGAGAGAGTCCAGAGGAGAGCCACAAAGATGATCAGGGCACTGGAGCACCTCCCCTGTGAAAACAGGCTGAGGGAGCTGGGCTTGTTCAGCATGGAGAAAAGAAGGCTGCAGGGTGACCTCATTGCAGCCTTTCAGTACCTGAAGGGAGCCTACAAACAGGAGAGGAGTCAACTCTTTGAAAGGGTTGATAACTGCAGGACAGGGGGAAATGGTTTTAAATTGAGGGAGGGAAGATTTAGGTTGGATGTCAGGGGAAGTTCTTTACAGAGAGAGTGGTGAGGTGCTGGAACAGGCTGCCCAGACAGGCTGTGGATGCCCCATCCCTGGAGGTGTTCAAGGCCAGGTTGGATGGGGCCCTGGGCAGCCTGGTCTGGTATTAAATGGGGAGGTTGGTGGCCCTGCATGTGGCAGGGGGTTGGAGCTTCATGATCCTTGAGGTCTCTTCCAACCCTGGCCTTTCTGTGCTTCCGTGGGCCCTGCGCACAGAGATCTGCTGGCTGGTAACCCTGCCCATGGCAGAGGTGTTGGAACTGGGTTGAAACTTTTTTTTTTTTTTTTTTGCATAAGAAGACAGAACAATGAAGATCCAAAAACAGACTGCTAACACTTGTATAGCAAACAGTTAACACTATTTTAAATGACTCTTTTAGCTTAATTCCATAGTAAATAAGGCTTCAAAGACAGTTTTATTAGAACTGCTTGCACGTAAACATTAAGATCCTATACGCATGCCTAACTTTTCATACAGTATTCTATACACATGCTGGTTTGTGGTGAAATATTTAGTAGCAAGTAGCCTTGTAGAAGATGTGGTTGCTATTCAACCAATTGAGTAAGAATCTCCCAAGTACAACAAACAGGGATAAATGAGATTTTCAAATTGGAATTTGAGCTAGCAGAAGAAGATACCAGGCATCTCCTCCACGTTTTCACATGTGAGCTGAATACACACAAAGATGGAAAAGCAATCATGTTATTGTAACTTAATTTTTTTACCTGCTCTATCATTTCTTCCAGACATTTAAGCTACAGTCTATGATTACTACATCAAAATTTAATGATACCTTACTACTTTCACTTTGCATATTTGAGTGTCTTAGATGCGGCAATAATTTCATTAATAAAAGTAATTAGTAGGTTAACATTTATAGAAAGCTGACGAGGTACATGATGACTTAACAGAATCTAATTTGCTATTCAAGAAAAATAGAGATGGACAGCATTTACAGAACAGCTCCAAGAAAAGAGGTCTACCATTGGTTCTACAGAGCACTACATTTATCCACTTTGCTCCAAGTTCACTGCAACATTCTTCCTCGAGCACTCCTATTAAGTTGCCCAGGGTTAAATAAAAATAAAGACTGGTTCTAACACGAGGTATAGCAGAAGTGTTTTTCTGAACAGAGGTATAATGAAATATCTAACATCTGTATGATATATTTGAACGCTTATCCCTATTTTAAAGTATTGCATTAAATATGTATTTATTTAATCCCACTCATGCTTGGGATAGTGATCAGTTGGTTCTGGGACATAATGCTTCTGAAGCCAGAACTCAGCTGTTGTACGTATGAATTATAACTTCACTTACAGAAATTCCAGACACCAAATTTCTGGAGTTGAGAAATAAATTTTCATCTGACAGTTGCAGACTTAGTTCCTCATTACAGCTGGCTAAAGTTAAATAATTTTACAGCTTTGTCTCTATTCTACCCCACCCCTCCAGTCCCCAATTTAATTCCTGAGTGCCACTGCCTTCACTGGTTTCAATGAGGTGACTACTGAACATCAAGGTCCGGCTGGATCTGCACCTATTTTGTATCTTTTCTCGGAAGAAATAGTAATAACTTATGCTAACACACAAGTCGTAGAGCAAGAAAGAAAGATGCTTACTGCAGAAACAGATGTTTTTAAATATTATTGCTCTCTGTTGTAGCTACTGCCTTTCCAGCATAAAAGACTAAAACTTCTCTCCTATATTTCAGCAGAGAAGTTAGATCACTTGATCCTGACCCAACTGGCAGCTTCTGCACTGAATGCTGAATTGAAATCCAACCCAGGTTTAACATCTCCAGATGCTATTTCAAACTTCAGAGAAGGTTCTACAGCACCAAATACTCACTAGTGGAGTATGGCCAGAGGTATATGTGCATATCATGCTCGGACAAACTCAAAATTAAGAAGAATGTGTGCAGCTAGGTTTAAAAGCAGTGAGTTCTAATGCTAGTGCTGCCAGTGGTTTTGGTAGGGGTGTGAACAGTTTACCTGGCATTTCTGATTCACTTTCTTATCTGTAAAACAGAGGGATCACTCTAGAGCTACTATTTCAGATGTCTGAAAAATGAAAAATATGCTGTACGTGGGGATTATTCCAATAAATAAATCACAGAATCAACGTTTGCTTCTTCTGGAAGGCATATGAGGCACACATTTCTTTATTTTAACTCGAAAGCTTTTGGTTTTTGGCTTATTCTTTTGTTTCAGAAGTGAAGCTTACCGGACTCATGTAAATTCCTTGGTGCACATCTCCAAATTGTCCTTCACCAATGCAGCGCCCCAGTTCAATTCTCTCCCTTTGAATTTCATAATCTCTGGCTATAAGAATATAACGCACTTAAATTATCAGATCTCTGAGGAAAGGCAGAGGAACAATCCACAAGATACCAAACTCAGTCACTCCAGTGTCTCACAAATGAACAACTAAGATTCACATACGCTGCACACCAACCTATACAAATGCTGTATACACAGTGGAAACCTCTTAAACAAAAGTTTGAATCAAAGCAATGAAAAAGAAAATGTGAACTATAATTTCTTAAATTAACTGTTATGCATTATTTATTTCAATGCAATAGAGATAATTAAACGGTTATTGCTAGTAAAAGACAAAACATAAATAACCTAGGACAATAGAGATGATTATAAATACAGCCCTTGCCCACATGCTTTTATGAGTTTAAGAGAAGTCCACTATGTGGTATTTTAGATCTTGGAACCATCAAATCAGCCAGGAGAATTTTTAAAGAGGTAACTGCAAGAAAGAAAATACAGAAACGAAGAGCATGGCAAATAAAGATAGAATGAAAGAGCAAAATTTTGAGTGCAATACACCTCCATCAGTCTGGAACTGAAGTAAAATTGATAGAATGCATTGCAACTTAGCAATTTTAATAACTTCACTGCTAAGACTGAGAGGTTTTCTGATGAAAATGCCTCAGTGCTTTGGCAAAAAAAAATTTAAGCAATTGCAAGTGAATTACTTCATTTGCAATTTAATTTCTAGCAGACATGGAAAAATATTTCTGGAACAGCAGAAAAACACGTACAGTATATGTTTTCACCTCTACTATTATTCTGAGCAAAAAAATAAGCTACCAGCTTAGGACTTTAGGGCTGATTTTTTGCACTTCATTAACACTATAGAAATAACGTTGTCTAGAGATAGATAACACTGTGATAAATGCCCTTTTCATTTCTTGCGTTAAGTACTGCATTTTCCTCTTTAAAATCCCAAAGCTAGCTGGTTTAACTATAGATAAATAATGTTTATTAAATGAAAGTGAATAAGAAAAACTCCACATCATTCCAAACTGCAAGCATACAAGGATGGGTAAAGGATCTCCTGTTACCTTCATCTATTCCATAGCTTTCTGCAGTGCAATTGAGAGAAAGATCAAATGCTTACTTAGAGCTTCTTAAAATCAAGTCAAGGACAAACATTTTTTTAACATTTAAAAAAAATGAAGAGCTATTACAGATGCAATTTTAACTTTACATTGGCAGAAGTCACAGGTCTGTTCTTGTGATCTGAACTGCCCATGCCCTGGGACAGCTGAACACTCGAACCCACTTCAGTGCGGCACAGCACTTAATGCTCGTGTCAACAGCCCATCCTACAGGCTTGGAACTGAAGGCATAAACTGAAGTGTTCAGGAGTCATCCAGCGCTGGACCACAAGTAATTTGTTCAATGGAAATTTAAAAGAAAAGGTTACAGAATAATAATAATGAAAAAATCACAGGGTTAATATGTTTAAAAAATAAAAATAAAAATAAGGACTTAGGTTATTTTTTGACCCTGCAGTTATTTTGATGGAATTACGTAGTAACTTACTGCAAGACATTCAAAGCACATTGTTTATTTCTAGAAAACATATATTCTTGCTTTCCAAATATTTTCCACAGTAGCATATTATACAATAAACACTGAAGTGATTATGAAACATTTCTGTCTCATGAAAGCCTGAAGAAATCCCTACACACAGTCATTATTTTCCAGCAGAACATGCTATCAGCTCAGCACCATCCTCCCCTGACACACCAAACCAACCTGGCATTTCTGTAGGCGTTCTTCAGAAGCAGACAGAACCAACTGTTTAATGCTAGAGAAATCCCAGGCTGCCAAAATATTTCTGTAGGTTGCAGATGTAACTTAAAATCAGCATATGGACTTCTATGTGAAATTAGCTGACTCTGACAGTTCAAGATGATATCCTAATTCAAATACTCCATGAGCAAATCCTGGTGGTGGTCAATGCATCACCTTTTTTCTATTTCAAAGATGAAGACTCAGAAGAACTTTGCATCTTTGTTTTTGTTCCTGAAGTCTTTTATCTTGAAAAATACTGCATGTGGTACAGATGACTTTCTCTAGAGAACAGCATGCGTGACACAGAGCAAGGACCAAGGATGGGATACAGCTATAGAGCAGCATCCAAAAGCATTCCAAATCCCTCGCCTTTCTGACAGAAATCTTACTCATTCTTTAGGCGTTGTGTTCAGCATAGCAGTACAAAATAAACCTCCATTTTATGTCATTTTGAGTCATAAAAGGGAGCTCACAGTGAAGTCACTGGTAACACCAAAAAGCTATGACAGAACCTTACTTCGTTTCATAACCTGAATTTAAAAGGACACTGAAGCTAGGAAGCTTGCAAACATCATCGAGCAATACGTGTGCAAAGAAAATATTCCTAAGGCTGAAATGTAAGATTCAGTCCCAAAGAAGCTGCTGGGAAGAAAAGTTCCAATTAACATACTTACTTGATGGCATTGTATAAGTATCTTCTTCATCTATAATCTCTGCATAGTCATCTGTTTCTGTAAAGGGAGGAATTAAAGAGTTTCGGGAAGAGCAGATGAAAACACTTCTCCAAAACAGTATCTCCAATGTATCAAAGCTGATAAGTCACAATTCCCCACTTCAACAGTGCTGGGACACATTTACAATAGCGTGAATAAAACTTGCTCATGCATAATTTATGGCATGATAATGACCTCAAGTGCCAATTATGCTACGTCACATAGATGCATTCAACAAGGAATAAAAGAAAGTTTCATTGGTATTCAGAAAAGCGTAAGTTCTCTAACTGAATCCAATCTAAACTGTTGACTTCAAAAGAAAATCCTTTTAAGAGCAAATTTGACCACAGGAAAAAAAAACAAACAACAAAAAAACAACAAAAAAAAACAACACATTATTAATGGATTAAATTGCTTTATCTTCAATAAAGTGTGAACAATAGTTTGGTAATATTTATGTCAAACAAGCAAAACAGATGGTAAAGATGTTCCAGGGCAGCATCTACTTACTGTCAGTGCAGCAAGGTGAGCAATTTTCTGTACTATTTCCTAAAGAAAACAGATCTTTTTTCCTGTACTACTCTCAATTTTGTTTAGTAGAAATTTGCAACCAGATTTGCTGTCTCAAATCAGCATCTTTAGAAAACATCCAGCTCTCAAAGTTATCGGAAAAACAACAGCGTATTTCTTCCTCTGTTTAAAACTTATTTTGCATCATCAGTTCTCATGACAGTGTAACTGGTGGCACGTCCTGTCCTACCAGTGGCTCCTTTTGTTCCTCTGAAGAGCTTCCAGGTCACGTAAGTCATTTCCTAATGGTCAGAAATTCTCCCAGGGTTTACAAACCCATCCACAGCAGTGCGATAATCAGTCACTGCCAGGCTGTTAAATTCTATTCACCAACTTTAATTGCACAGAGGTTCTCAAAATTGAGTAATTTCAAGTCCAGTATGAGGTTTTAGCAGCTGTTTTCAGGTGATTACATATTGGGCTGCCTCTGAAAGGCACAATTCGCTTCTTCTGCCCTGGAGCATATGTACAATCCTACAGCTCTTCTGCATCATTTCTACAGCCGTGGATTCTGGATGGTGAATGGGACAAAGCAAAGGTTGGGATGATCCCTTCTGGTGGCAGCCCTCAGTCCAAAAAAAGCCAACTCTGACAGCAGAGCAAGGCTCCTAAATATTATACAGGTGAATAAACAAGAACAGATTTTCAAACAAACTCAATACTCAGCAACTAGAAAACTTGAGGTTACCTACAGTTTGAACACTGTGTTTGTACAGTTTGAACGAAGTGTGTTTGAAGTTCAACACACTTTAGCAATCAAATATAGATTTATGATCCTAACTTCATAGTTCTAACACAAAATTGAAGTTTTTTTTCTTCCAAACCCCTATAGGAATTTCCTGTCTCATAAAAACAGCAAATTCTACACTATTTAAATTTGTGTTAGGCAATTTCTGCTTAGGATACAGCAAAACAGAATCGCCAAACCAAAATCCAATGAATTATGAAGACAGTGCACAAGTGTGAACAGCTAGCACACTCAGGGGCACTAATCATAGAATCACAGAATGGCCTGGGTTGAAAAGGACCACAGTGATCATTTGGTTTCAACTCCCTGCTATGTGCAGGGTCACCAACCACCAGACCAGGCTGCCCAGAGCCACATCCAGCCTGGCCTTGAATGCCCCCAGGGATAGGGCATCCACAGCCTCCTTGGGCAACCTGTTCCAGTGCATCACCACCCTCTACATCTCTAATCTCTTGGTATGTTTTTTCTCCTAGTTATACAAACTGAAATTTTAACAGAAAGGTAAGCTCTAGGTTTACCTGAAAAGTAAGCAAACATCTCAAAGAAAACATCAGTGTTACATGACTGTTATCAGGGTAATCGCTCTGCTTCTTTATAATATTTCTAAAGATATTTTTAAACTTTTGTTAGGTGAAATATACAACAGCCAGTGTTACAAGTTGTTATTTGAGGATGATACCGAAGAGTTCTTCCCATCTGGTTAAAAAATGGACTGAATGAAAGATATTATAAACAACTACAAGAAGAATTTAAGGAGTCCAGATAGAAAAGTGGCGTCACACTATTCTTTAAACAACTAAATCATCTGTCACACTAGTTTGTGGAACTGTGCTCACGAATGTGACAAATGACTTGGCTTGTACATCTCCCTACTTTAATTTACTGAAGTTCACTCATAACGCTGCAGAGCACTGCATGGTTTTAAGACATTGCTCAAACCTACCCTGAAACTATAAGGGTCCTCATAGCCAATCTAAATGAATAAAATGTTTGCAATGAACTACACAAATATTTCCTGTTACACTTTTAACACTCTGGAGAGGAACATATAATGAGAATTCAGAAAGTAATTCCTATACATCATTTCCAGGAATTAAGAGGAAAAAAAAAATCAATCAAGGCATTAACAGTGACTCAGAGTGCTCTCTACAAGAGACAACCAACCTCTATAACCCATGATCAGAGCCACGTTTTAAAAAACTATACTCAAGTCAGCTAAGACTGAGACTACGTCTGCTCAGAGATATTCCAGAATCCATGCAGAGCCTGAAGCAAGGCCCACTTGGGCAAGGTCTGCAGGCTTCTTTATGGAGAAGGATGTGCTGTAGCATTCCCCAGTGCAAAACGCTCAGTAAAGCAGGGATTCCAGGAGTTACTCTGTTTTCAAGGCCCCTGGTATGTCTAGATGAGTAAGCAGATTTGAACTTCACTAAATCTGAACATGTTTATAAAATTTCAGTGCATTAACTCCATAATAGCTCATTCATAGCCCTTATTTTAAAATGCTCTTTGAAATGTCCTTCCTCATGACTTTTTTTCCATTTACCAGAGCCCAAATTTTTAGAAGATAAACATCAATCGAAACCTGTCTGTAGGTATCTGAAAATCAATTTCTGAATTTATGATTGCAAAAATGCCCTTCAAGCTGTTAAGAAATTGAAGGAAATAGAGATAGCATTATCTTCATTTTTATCTGAGAGAAAGGAGGTGTGAATTTATATCCACCTCCCAATTTATTCAGAGGAAGGCCACAAAATATTATTCCTTGTTATCATTTTCCTTTACAAATTACAGAACGTAAAAAGCAATACCTCCTACTTGTAAGAATCAAGATACAGACACACAACCAGCAGTATCAGATTGACTTTTTTTCCCAATATCAGATGGAATTCTGTAAGCAGCAGTAGCAGTAGTGGACTACTGATGACTTCAAAGCATCTCCTCAGCAGACTCATTTCCCATGCTGTATAGCAGCCATTGAACACACTCACTGGCCAAACCAAGCATGTAACAATCACTTAAACTGAATGGACACTCTTGAAAAACCTATGAACTTTCTCTGCATCATGCCAGAACTCCCATTGCAAACACATGCAATACCACATCCCTGCAAGTTTGAAACAGATTTCCCTTTTCCAATTACAGTTTAGCAGAAAGCGCTGGTTGCGCAGCCTGTAAAGTACAATATTTAATGGCTAATGCCCAAGACAGACTGCTTTTTGAACTAAAATGTGTATAAAACTGATTGCTGAAATATGCGTTAACTGCTACATGGATGTAAGAATTGCATATTGCACGTTAGTAACACACAGACTAGAAAACATATTACCGTCCCCACTAATTTCATCTGCAGATCCAGGTGGCATGCAAGGAGAGAGAAAAACAGGGGGAGAGAGAAGGGACAGAGAAAGGGAGGGGAAAATATACTATTAAATTCATGAGTAATCCAAAAGTATTCAGATTGCAGTTATCTTATATACCTGACTCAAGAGAAACCAGAAAAGTAGTGGAATTTAAGACTTCTCACCTAAAACCCAAGGGACAAAGATATGTTCTGAGAAGCTTGCATGATGAAACAGAGTTAATGACTTTTAAACACAGCATTACAAAAAAATTAAATTTGGAAGTGCAACTAGTTCTTTTAATGCATAAGGAAATATGAAATCCTGTTCTTTAATCTTTTGCTACTGAATGGATCTCCTATAGCTATGGGTCATTCCAATTTGGCTTTGCACGTACGAATATGATTTTCGATAACTAGAGTTGGGGTTGACTATTTTGGAAGGAAACACGCTCCTGTGCTATCACAAAAGCAAGAGTAAGAAATGGAACAATCTAAGCAATAATCATACACAGCATACTAGTTATATTGAGCAACTCTACAGGAAAGCTGTTCAATGAGCACCACAGCCTGCATTACTGTAACGGCCCCATTCCACGCCAATAACTACAGCACAAGCTGATGCATTTTAGATATTACTGATTTTAAAAATGCACATTAATATTGTAAAAGTAATGCACCTGTTCCTTCAATTCTTCTTACACCTAACAAAGCCAAACCGATCCAGACCAAGTGCTGAACCAGGATAAGCCACAAGCATCACTGTATTCAATATGTAATTAAAAGTGATCCCAGCTGATGCTTATTGTTGCTATTCTACTTCATTCATGAGCATGCTGTATCAGGGGTCCAAGAATGAAGTCAAAATCTGTTAACAAAAAAAAACCCCAAGTGTATAGCCAGAATAGATATACAAATGAAAATATTAATGCTTGTAATTAATTGCAGCATATAATGCTTAAAACAAAGCCTCTCATTAAAACGTGGACCAGCAAGTTTATGACACTGCACGAATATCCAATTCGATAGAGCAAAGGGGTAGCAGAAATTTAATGAGATTATTCTTGGAACTCTGTTTACCTGAGCCTGAAGTATTAAAAGAAAAACAACCAACCAGTAACTGAGTTAGTATTTCAGCTTTTGTGTTAACAAGGCAGCCTATACAAAGAGCAGTGCAGTACCCTTAGGTGGCGGCTCATGGGAACAGAAGACGAAAGGGAGAAAGCGTCTAGCTTTCTTTACTTTATGCTGACAGTGATTGACTCCTTTACAAAGAGGCAAGAAAAGGAAAGAGAAAAACAAATTATTTAGAAATAAAAGAGGCTGGGGAGAACATTTACAGCGAATGAACATAAAACTAAAGGTTTACATTACAGTTCTATATATGCAAAATGGATACACGAACGTATTTGAAACTCTAAAGCACACTTACTTTCCTTCAAATTCTTTTCTACAGCAGTAAATTATTCCCATTTCATTTTCAAAAAGTGAGACTAGATTATGTTAAGAAGCTGGCCTTGGCCAAGTACCCACACCACCCACTCACAGTGCAGAGGTACTGTCCATCCCAGAAGCATAACCCACTTTTTTAAGATGCCCACCTAAGCTTGACTAGAATGTGCTATGCTAAAACTCTTAATTGAAGAGTTAAACATGTAATACTGACTTTCTGGACCCTGAGGAAAGAATTTAATATGAAACAACTATTTCACATATTACAATTACACAGAACAAGAAAAAAGTACTGCTTCTCTATCCACTGAAATACAACACTGCATTTGATGAGCAAAGTGCTTAGCAGGAAGAGAGAGAGTGCTAAGCAGGAGAGAGAACACAAGAAAGCCAAGACCAACTTTACAAGGTGAGAAAGAAGGAAACAGGATGATACAAGGAACCTGAGTATAGCTGCTCCTCTTGTTTCTCATCATCTGTTCACTCCTCTCTGCTTTCTCTTCCCTCTCCCCTCTATCTCAGGAAATGAGAGAGATGATGCAAAATGTGCGTCAACCAAAGACTCCCACCCAGCTGCTGATACTCCCTTTCAAAATTGAGGAGTGAAGCCCAGCTGCCTTGACCAATAGAGGCTGCAGGAAGAATTGAGAGCTCAAGCCGTGCAGGAGCAGCATGCTAGCCCAACACCCCAGCAGCAGGATGGAGGAGTCTGGAAACCTATGAAGTACTAAAGGAGCTATATTTATGCAAAAGCACTGTCTTCTACTCTTCGTTTTTTCTTCTGACCAGAGTTTGAGGGATGATGAGAGCTGCATTAAGTGTGTTAAATCTGGAGGGAGCACGCTGAATTTTATGCATGCAAATCTAATGGATAACTTCCTACCATGTAGAATTCCCACTTAGCTAAGACAGTAAAGGTAAAACACATGGGTATGATTTATTATTATACCAAAACATCACTTTAAAAACTGCCAGTGTGATTCATCAATTGTGAAAATTTATGTGCCACTGAAAGTGACAGAACATCAATCAATGTTAAACATCGAAGGAGATGCAAAGAGGGCAAACTTACAAGTTAGTTGATAGTATTTATGTGAATTAACACATTAATGGAATCACAGGATCTATTTTCCTCATATCACATGGCACTACGTTCTAATACAAGGCTGTGGTAACATTCTTAACAAAGCCTTAAACACAGTGCAAACAGAAAAGTCCTACAGCTATTTTTAGACATCTGAAAAAGTACTGAAATAAGAATAAAGGCATACAATACACTGCAGTGAAACAGAAGAACAGGTATAAAGTGACTGGAAGCAATGCAAGCTATCTGAAAGGGAAGAGACGTTTCAACTCTTGACCTGCCCACTCTAATTCAAGCCTGAAATACTGCAGTGCTGCTACTCTTGTCTGGACACATGGGAAGCAGAAGCAGGTTGAACCCTGACCCACCTTCTTCCTTAAGAAGCAACCATCAAAATCAAACGGCCTTTTAGTTCAGCACAGCCTGACGACTGATGATACTCAGACCAACTTGTCCTCTGCACTTCAAATGTTGTTTGTGACCCCTTGTTTATAGTTTGTGCCACCGTTCTGCTACATAAAACGAGGAACACTCTGCCTTAAAACTATCACATCTTCAGGTTAGCTACAGAAGTTGTTCCTCTTGATAGAGTCAATTCTAAGTTCAAAAAAGAACATGCAATTCTTTGTCAGGAGCCTAGAAAACACCTGCTTGAAATGGATTCTACTTTGATTTACACCATTCCACACTGACTTCCAGCCATTGATATGCTGGCTTCTACCTAAATGCCCACAAAGCTCAAAAATGCTGCTGAAAACAAAACTCACAGGATTGCTTTTATTTTGTTTAGTGCCTCTCCCAAGTACTAAGCACTCGATGTTACTGCATACCAAAAGTCCATTCCACTTCCTATTTTACAAGGGACATTATGATGTAGAGGGCAGTTACTCCTGGAGCTTCTTATCTGGACAGTGTGAGCAGAGAATGGAAAGCTGGAAAAGGTAACATCCCTTTCTACTGTAGCATATATTCCTGAACCAGCTTGGGGAAAAAAACATGGGAAAAAAATCCGTGGAAGGAATAAACGTAGTTGTTTTCATGTATTTGTCAAAGCAAACATACATAAACAACAAACAAATGTGAAAATGCATGGAACATCTGTGCAGTCAAACTACCAAAGTGTCTGCTTGTATTAAAAAAAATGGATGGCAAAGGAGGAGTGAAAGAGGGGGAAGAGCTTTAAACTACGATGGAGATTGATGAAATCAAGGCAGTACATTCCCAGGCACTGACAGAGAGCTCCCAGTCATCACACTTCATTCTGGTCTCACTGTGCATGAAAAGCAGCATTTTAGTGAGTTTAAAATGCAAAGAGATAACACCTGCCTAGTCGACTGTGATGAGAAGCCTAACACCGTAATTTATCATCATTAAGGGTATTTTAAAGCATATTATCTTATTAACAATCAAAATAGCTGGGTGAGTTATGCAAGTACCTTCTCTTTGGAGACAAATGACTTGCTAAAGGTTTGTAAGGGTAGTCTGCCAAAAAAAAAAACCAAATCTGACTCAAATGCTTCCCAGTTCTTTGACCACGCAGCTGAGCTACAGCTGCACAGACTTTATATTCCTCTAATTACTTGATAATCAGAATGTGTAACTACACAATTTATGCTAACAGTGCCAGTCTTCAGAAAAATGAGCTGTCAAACGTGACATAATTGGGCGAACAGACAGAAGTCGTAAGCAGTCAAGATAACTGTTTTTTATCATAATCAATTGCATACAATTTTCAACACTGTCTTTTTGTAGTGACTTGATAAATTGAGCATGCTTCCAAAAATACCTGCTCTACAACCTTGGGCAAAAACACCTTTTTACTCTACCAACTTATTGAAAAGGAACGAGAAATGGTAAGTCCTAAACAAGAAACTCTTTCAGAAATGAACACAGTGCAGACTTTCATTTTTTGTACAGAATTATGAGACAGAGCACGCACGGTGCTTTGCAAGCAGAAGTGATTCAACAAAATCCCATTTGTCTTTCCATCCTTGCTCACAGCACTGCTTGTGACTAGCCCTCATCGTTAACAGACTTTCTGGTCACCTGCTACACTGACACTGTCTTTATTAAGAACATTCATAATTGCTGTAATACTGGAATCAAGTGAATATACTTGGTGCTTTTTTTGTCTGCTGCTTGTTGTGCTTTGGCAGTTGGCTCTAGCTATGTTTCATATTGCTCTTGGTAACCAACTGAAGTCTGCCTCCTGAATGAGCTGCACCATACCCTGCATCTATGCCTATTTCCTTCAAAAAAGTATATTTAATTCAAATTTAAATCTCAGCCAAATGAAATGACTAAGGTGACAGCTACTTCAAACTCACTATCTCATAAACTGCCCCTGAGAGCTATCTTCTCTATGCCATTTCACTGACACTGCCATAATCAGGAATTAACCATGGTAAGTGATTTAAGTGGAATGACATTATACCAGGAGTCCGATTTTAAGGTAGAAACAGGAAGCTGGCAAAGAAACATCTGTTTCAGGCTGCTAAAGTCCTAACATTTCTACTATAAAGCTCCCTCTAGAAGACTCAGTTTCTCCTACACAGGGCATAAGCAGTGCAACTATTAGACCTAAGCCATGGTATAACCTACTGCTTCTCCTTTCAGCTTCAGTTTTAACATGCTCTTTGTGCTAAGAACAGCCATGTCAACTATGGAACAGGACACAACACATTTCTCTTTCAGTTATTTATTTCCCCAGTAAAGGATCTGGCACAGAATCTGTTGCTTAGATGGCTTAAGTCAGGGGGGATGGAACTGTTTTTTTCAGAGTGTCTGTTATGATGCTATGTTTTGGTTCTACAAGAAAAATAATGTTGATAACACACCAATGTTTGTAGTTGCTGCTAAGCAGTATTGCACAGAGCTAAGGCCATTCCCAAAGAAGGACCCAAGGAGCTGGGAGGAAACAGAATTAAGACAGCTGACTTAAATGGCCAAAGGGGTATTCCATACTATCTGACATCATGGGGAAGAAGTTTTTAAGGGGCTGGGGGTTCATCTCTTGCTCTCTTCTGCTGCTTGGAAGGCTAGCTGGACATTGGCCGGGGGGTGGTGAGCAACTGCTTGTGCATCACTTGTTAAATACATATATTTGTCATAATTATTATCCTTTTCTCTATCTTAGTAAACAGTTTCATCTGAACCCATGAGTCCTACTTTGTTTTTTTTTGTATTCTATGCCCCATCCCGCTGGGAAGGCTGGCAGTGAGTGAACAACTGTGTAGCTTTCTTATTATATAATTATATATATATACTTATTATAATATGTAATTGACGGGGTAAATTGTTATTTTTGGAAATATGTAGATCAGGAAATATGCACATCACCTTACTAAGGCTAATGGTTGCTATTTCAAAACTAACTGCTGGCCAAAATAAGTTTCTGTAGACTAGAGCAGTCAATAAAATCACATTTAAGTGCTACATTTTTTCCTACAGATTAGATGTACTATTTGCACACAGCCAATAATTCAGCCTTACTGTCTCCTGATTGTGCCCTCTTGGCCAAGCAGTAAGAATGCTTTCCTAATGCAAAAAACACAAGTAGATGGAGAGGGAGATACAAGGTGGAGCCATCCAACTATGAACTAGAATACTACTCACTTCTGATGACTCAGTAATTTTAACAAAAACACCACATATATGCCAAAGAAATCCAAAATGCAATATTTTTATTTTTATTTTTATTTAACTGTCATATTTAACTGGGCTTTTAATTTATATATAAACACACAGATTAATGTAAAATTCGAGGTGCAAAATTCCCGTGATGTTTAAAAAATTTCTTACTTGCACATAATAAAAGATCACTGTTGTAAGAAGTATTAAATACAAAGAGCTAAGACAAAGAATGCCAGAACAGAGAAAGCCACAGTGCAACCTGGTTCAGTGACACACGGCCTTTAGGGAGCATTTCTTGGCTCCCAGTTCAGCAATTTGCTGCTTGAGATTCCTGGAGCCAACTTCACCCTTCACTACTTTGAAAAGGTCTTTATTTAAAACTAGAGTTAAAAAAAATACAAAAATTTAGAAACTTTCGTTTTCTGTATGCCTTGGAATACTGAAGGACTTGGAACAAGTTTTCATTTCACTAGACCAGAAACATTTCAAGGTGGATTAATACATAACTCAAACAGCAAGACAAGACATCTTTCATTAATAAGCTCATTTTCAACCCTATAAAACTTCAGACAAATACTTGTACTCCTAGACCACCAATCATGTTCCACATCAGCATTCAGCTATTGCTTGGTTCCAAGTTGTGGTAGGGAGCTCACTTTGAAATTTTCCTTCAGTAGTAAGGGGATAAATGCTATAAATACGTCTGACTGCTAGATTTTCCTGAGAATAACTTGTTTATGATTTTTTACTATTTAGTGTTAGCATTGGGAGAGATCTAAATAAAGAACAGCAATCTCACTGCAACGAAGAGCTGAGTTAATTTATGATTTAAACTGTCAAAGGCACGAATGATATTACAGCTGTCAGAAAGTTACAAAAGATCGTCTTATTTGAAGTCCTTAGCTCTGAGGCATTCAAATGTCACCAGAGAAAAGCTCTTATTCTCCAAACCAAGATAGCATCATCCACAGCTGGCTCTGCACTGGATGCTGTCAGCTGTCGGACTCCGCTGACCTGTAACTCTCGGGTTAGCTGAACATAATGTACATCTGTTGCCTCTGTTGTTCCATATGATGGATCAGTTACACGTGACGACAGGAGGGGACTTCTTCACATCTACATGAAGCACTGCCTCATTTATAACAAGTTGATTCCTTAGGGTAAGCCAAAACTCCCAAGGAGAAATCGCTATCACTCAACTTCATGACTTCAATTCAATATCCTGACATTCACAGCACACTTCAAAGTAATGTGGGGGCAAAACTGAACCAAAACAAAAACAATAAAAAAGAGAATTTTAGTATTCTTTGTGCCTTTTTTAAGAACAAACCCTTGAGACTGAATAATAAATGCAGTAGTTTTAATAATTCCAGTATTATGTCAGTGTTTCCAATGGTTTGAAACGTGGTACAGGACACAAGAACAATGATTTCTCTGTGGAAAGCTATAAAACCTCACTACAAAAGAAGAACACATTACTGGTTTTGATTTTGTTACTAGAAAGACAGACAAGGGCATATGCTGGTTTTAACTGACTGTTTTGCTTCTGTCATTATGAGCCAGCTTTGTACTTTACAGCTTCTTTGATTGTACACCTCCTGCATTTTGCTAGATGCTAACCCTCTAGCCCTGGCTCTGCAGCAAAGCTCCCATTTGGCTATCGATCACCTGTATGGGATGCCCTACACAGCAGAGGTAAGTGGTATCACAGCTAACTTCCCTATATTAACATCAAACCACTACTTCAGAAGAGTAGAGAAGAACAAAAAGACAGAACACGCTTATCATGCCTCCTGCTCATCTCTGTCAGCACCCTAAACCTTGCTTGGTCAGCTGCTGTTTGACTCAGAGAGGCAACGTTAACTGATGAAGACCTTTCATACCTCTGCAGCTTGATGGACATTTTAATTCCAGATCCTCTCACCAATTCTCTTGCACAAGGTCTAAATATGGACTTCTTGTGTCAGCGGTGAATCTTAAACACCTTTAAAAAAAACTTAAGCATGGGGATGGGAATCTGAAAAGTAGGAAATGAATCAAGCATCTATGAACCATTCCTCCTTCTCCATTTCCTGAGTATGTGCCACTAAATGGTCGCAAAAACGTTCCAGTGAAGCTGTAGCCTTCCTGTAAGTCAAGGATGGACATTCCACAGGGTCACAGTAATGCTTCTTGAGGTCTGTGGCCAAACACTATAAATCTATACGGATGTACCACAATCTTAATAACACTTCCACACTGCAAATCTCCTTTATAGATAGCATGCGTAAGTACTTAACAATGCATTTCCTACTGAGACATTGAATCAATCCCTCAAAAGGATTTGTTGAGAGCCTTTAAAATAAAAATGTTCTCTGGAGGATGAAAACTTAAAAAAACAAACAAACAAACAAAAAACATAGTTGCTAACAGAAATTTAAAAGCCTGTAAGCTATAGAAACAACACCTACTACATTACATGCTCATCATCCTTCAATTATCTTGCGGTTTTCAACAGCAAAAAATTTAAGTGATTTGATCTAAGCAGCAGCTACAACAAATTTGCTATTGAGTTTCTTCTTTCAGAAGTGATGATAGATATTTAATGGCTTATTTTCACTTTTCAAAGCTACTCCTTCATAATTTAACACATCCTCAGGTAATTTAAGATGGATAGTTTTGGTGACGAGTGGCCTAAGTGGAAACACTGACAGTCAGCCTTGCCTTCAAGTATTTTACCCCTGCTTCCCCACATGGATGTGGCTGTTCTCACAAGCAACAGTGCACAGAAGGACAGCTGAAAAAGTTCCTCTTTATGAATTCTACTGCAAAGTCAGCACAGCTATGGTCATGGGAAAATCAACAGCCATGGGGCAACAAGTGAGCTAACTGTGAGTAAAAATCTGTCTAAATATCTGCTAGCTGTAAAAATAAACCTGCATTTTTTTCAGAGCCTTACCTGATACAGAGACTGTGTGCGACCTTACTCCTTGCTTCTCATTGTTGGCCAGCCTGTAAAACAGAGGTTTGAATCGCTGAATGCTGTACATTCTTCACAGTCACATACACTGTGAATTCATCCTAACAGGGCACCTACTGTAATTAGCAGGGCCAATCCATTTTCCACAGTGACACATTTTGAGGGGGAGAAAAGTCAGAAAGGAATCTACCACTTCAAACCCAGCTGGGGGAGTGAGAGTGGAGAGAACGCGTTACCTTTTAATTAGAGAGCAACTTGGCAAAAACAGAACAAACTTTAAGAAAAGCAAGAGAAACAAAACTATTTAAAGGTTTTAAAGTTAAGCAGTGCATGTCTAAATATTGCCACTGTAGACAGTCTGATGGTCTTCCAACTTTCTGTATTCAATACTGGAAACAGAAATTATGAATCGAGCTCTTGTCTGTAAGCTGATTTATTTTATAGAGCCATTTTAAATTGATTTGCCTATCAAATAAATGAAGAAAAACAATTACAATTAGACAGTTTTAGCTATAGAAATTGATTACTAACAAATTTCAATGAATTCTTCCAGTAACTTATTTCACATACACGTGCATATATAACCATAGTTATAATGTTATGAGAGGAGTACAGCAGTTTATGCTTTGAGAAATCTGTAAAGGCAAATCTCTCCAGATGGTGCTGGCTAGTACTTTTACACTTGACAAAAGACCATTCCCCTGCTGCCAGCTGAAGAGCGTATGTGGTGCTCTCGTAAACAGACTCAACATTACAATGCCAGTATTGGTAAACTGTCCCAAAAATGGGAAGAAGTTTCTACTTCAAACCTTACTTCATCCTAGAAATCCCTAGAGACAGGAAAAAAAAAAAAAGCACTAAAGTGAAAACTCTGTAATTAGATCATTCTGTTTTTCTCAGTTCGTTCAAATGAAAGTTTTCATCTCCTATGTGAGTGCACACTGTTTACCAATCTTCCTGCTTTTCCTCCCTGTTTTTTAATCTCTTTCTGCACTGTGAGCAATCTACCACCTGGCTACTGAGGACTGCAGCAGGACCTGTGAAGGAAGAGTATCCAAGTGGCTTTTTTCTTGCTGAATCAGGAATAAATCATGTTCCACACTGCATTCAGTAGATTAAGAAGTAGTAACAAAAAAGGCAGGCTCACTCTAGGAGTTAAGGAAGAAACAGAATGAGGTGGCTGGCTCAGAGTGGTACAGTTCCTGATCTCCAAAGGAAAAACAAAGAAGACACAATAAACTGCTACACTTCTTACAGTCCTTTCAATCATTATCTCTAGCTACTGGATACTTCTCGATAAGGCTCAAGGAAAACAAAGAATTATTAGATGCAAATACCTTGGCTAAAGTGCCACCATTAAATCACTCAGAGAAAAAGAAATCAGATCTCTTTGCCAGATATAGATTAAGATTTTCAACACATTTATAATCATTACTGTATATATATTTTGATACATTAGTACATTTAAAAATAAAACAGATCAAGAACTGTTTGCTCTATGAACGCTACTCTTTATCACACGTGAACCTGGAGATTCCAACTCAGACTGATCCCATGATGGAAATATAATTTGAAAAAAAAAAAACAGACATAAAAGATTTATTACAGGAAGAAAATTTCTGTATTTTTGCATAAGCAGTAAAGCAAATAGCAAAACCAACACTGCAGACTGATCTACAGAGAGCCTGAAGTGACAATACACAGACTGTTAGGCATCATTCCTGTAATTAAGTTTACTCATGGACTCAAAATAAATAGCCTGAATCCCAGTCTAGCTTTTTCCAGAAGATCCTACTTTTGTTACTGTCAAGTATTACTGATGCACTATGAGTTTTCTTCCCTCAAATTTCATTTGTGGTATCTATAATGCTGCTGTCAGTCATTTACGCCCCATGGTTCCAAGTGCCTGCCTGCTATTTGTCCTAGAATCCAAAGGCAACAATAAAAATTAAGCATGTATAAAAAGTGTAAAGTGTCACTTAAACAAAACCATTTTTGAAAGCATTTTTTGAACTACATATATGTAAAAAGAAAGTATTAAACTCACTTTGGTATTGATGGTAAAGCTCTTTCACCTTCTGTGTAAAGAAGAAGAAAATGGAATTAAAATTGTATTTCAGTTTCCCAATGACCTCTCTCAATGTCCAATATATACAAGGCTGAAATAGTAATCATCACAACCTTCCAGGGAAATTGCATTGACTCATAAGACCATTCAATACTTATATCAACAGCAGCACACCAACACAGCTCATTCCAACTAGCAATGCATACATTCTGGCAAAGTCTTATCTGAGAATAATAATGTATACAGAATATGAGACTTTTTTATTCACAATAAATAACTCTGATAAATCACCTGCAAAAGGTATGGCAGAAATCTCATCTCTCTACTGAGAAATACTTCTCTCATTTCCAAGACATGCTAACCATATATTACAGTACACAGGTAAGTACAGTATATAAATACCTATGTATTAATATACACACATATAAACTGAAATTCTGAAATCAATGTAGACTTCCAAACAAGAATACTGATATAAATCATCAGTGTATACAGCATATAATATTAACTTCACATTGGGTTGAAATCATACACCAGTAATGCCTAGAAGCCAGAGATGAGGATGTCTCCTTATAAACTATTTTCAAATTCTCTGCCAATCTTTCTTTGCTAATGGCCCTGTGTATAAATGCTTGGATAGAAAGCATTTTGTCTCATATCTCTCTGATGAGAAGCTCATTACACATGTGGAAAAGGAGGATGGGGAAATTACCAACCCTTCAGTAAAACACCAACAATTTGAAGTAGATTGAAGTATGCAGGGAAGGAGAGAAAGAGGGCATTTAAAACAAGCATCTTCCTCCAAATCACTGTAGTACAGATAAAGTGTCCTGAAAGAAATGGAAGATTGTGGACTTGGGCTGCACACCCTCCTCCCTCCCTACAAAAACAAGTGCAGATCCTCCAGATCCAGCTACAAAGCTGCTGAGTTTGGAGACTGGAGCAAAAAGAGACAGGCTCAATTTTAATTGAAAGTGCAAAAAGGAAGAGAGAGCTGCACCTCAGGGTCAGATGAGGTTGCTGCAAAGAAAGATATAGGAAATAAGGGAAACAAAGAGCTGTGATTTTTGGAGATGGCACAGTAGCTTTCACAGAATCACAGAATCACAGAATTCTTTCCAAAGCATATGAGCAAGCACCTTGGAATTGGAGGGTGGAAGAAAGACAGCCAGTTCATCCAAGAAGCATGAGGCAGAACCGGACATAAAGGTATTGTAAAACGTTAGAGGAAATAACTTCCAGTTGCAAAGAAAGAAAATACAAAGATCCAGAAAGGTACTGCGGAGTGACAAGTACAAGAATGGAAGCCTGGATGGCATCAAAAGGATTGGAGATCAAGGGTTATCCAAAAAACAGAGACCAGAATGGGCACAAGAGGAACTCACACTGGATGAAAATAAGACAAAAGACATCAAGCTTGGAGAAACAGGCATAGAAACTGGTCCTGCCCAGCACCGTGCTGTCCTCCCTAGGATTGGGAATAAGACTCAGAAGCTTAAGTCCATCTGGTATCTCCTGATGCTTCCATCAGCTGTCGGTCTGTGAAAGTGTCCTGTATTGCAGCCTCCATAACTTGACAGTTATGATGCTGCTGGTTACTCCAACACCTCTCCCACATTTGGCAAGGAATGTAATGGTGAATCAGGTGTTACTGATGTAACAGACGTGCAGTACATTGCTTTTAAAGGTTTAGGAAATGACACATACATACAGAACTCCATTTTAACTCAAGATAACTGGAGTACAATTAATGAACTGCTATTTAAACTAACTAACCTTGATACTGAAAAGGCAATTCAATTGCATATTAATTACAATATTCAAAATTGTCTTCTAAAGATGGAATTTTTAATTTCCTCTTTTGTGTGTGTGTGGAACATGTAAGTATCATATTTCAGGACTTGAGAAACAATTCTGTAACACAGCAGGACCTGAGTGCTTTGTTCAAAGATTTCAACTGCAGATAAGCTTGTTTCTCTCTCCTGCAAACAGACTCCAAACCCTCTAAAAAGAGAGAAACACAATACAGGTGGCAACTGGCAGTGTAAAGTAAAGTCACTTGCTACATATCAAAAAAGTTCTAAAGAGAAATAAATACAAAATCTAACTTCCCAGGGCAATATTAAGTTTCCTTAAACTCATCTCCCACTCTGCTTCTGCAACTCCCAACTTCACTTACAGAACAGCATCTCACTGGTGTGCAAAAAATAAAGCAAGGATCATATCGTAACATCTCTCAACAGAATCCTGATTCTACTTGTCAAGAAACCCATTTACGGATTTTATGAGATAAGGAGAATGTGAAGAGAAGGAGAGGTGGAATTACATAGCTAACAAGTAATAACATGGAGGGATACGGATTGATCTGAGATTAAACAAGCATTTCATAAGACTCTGGAGTTTGTGATCTGATTAGCATTCTGTTAGTACATTTATGTTTTCATGATTGTTTGCTTTAAGAAAGCTGTTCTATTTTCAACTTCAGCCACAGAAAGCAGGGACATTAAAAAGCAGAGCATAGCAGACAACCGTAAGAATCAACAGCTCTAAAATGGGCAAGACATAAACGGCAGACTAACTGCTCTGAACACAAAAGTCTAATTCTGATGATGCTGGAATGAAGAACAGTGATGGAACTGGAGAAAGGCAGTGTGCAGGAAATGCCACCTGGTGCAGCACTGCATTCAGCTCTGAAGCCCCCAGTGTGACACTGACTTGCTGGAGCAGACAGATCTAGCGGATGGCCATGAGGATGATCAGAGAGATGGAGCACATTTCCTATGGAGACAGGCTGAGTGAGTTGGAGTTGCTCAGCTGGAAAAGAGGAGGCTCCAGGAAGACTTTATAGTGGTCCTCCAGTATCTAAACTGAGTCTACAGGAAAGGTGAAGAGGGACTCTTTCTCAGAGTGTAGTGATAAGAACAGAGGTAACAGGCAAATAAAAGAAGGAAGATTTAGACGAGATATAAAGAAGAAGTTATTTTCTGTGAGAATGGTGAGGAACTGGAACAGGTTGCTCAGAGAAGCTATGGATCCACAGAAGAGTTGAAGATCAGGTTGGATGGACACTTGGCCAAAAGGAACTAGAGAGAGGTGTCTGTGCCCATGGCAGGGGGATGGAACTAGATGATCTTTAACATCCCTTCCGATCCAAAGCATTATCTAATTCTATGAGAGTGAAAAAAAGATTTGTCCAGTGCCATAAAGGTGTAAGCAACTGTAGATAGCTATGAGATGGTGCAAGAAAATGATAAGGATGGAGAGAGGAAAGTAGAGACTCTAGGACAAGTTAAATGAATGCTCATTTCCAGATTGGTTAAAAAAAAAGAGGCTGCATGCATGGCTTCTAAGCCCCCACTATTTCTGATCATTTTTCCGGGGCTGCAGAAAGCATGACTCATTTTATTCTCATTAGCAATAGAGCAATGCTCTGAATAGATCTGGCCCTTTACCCTTTTGATTGATATGGGAGCAGAGGTAGACAACATGAAAGCCCTGGGGAGAAGGAAGGAGAATGTAGAGCTGCTCAAGAGCAACAACTGGTATATGCAGGACATAACACTGACCAGCCACAATGGACAACACCCCTGTGGCTGCCAGAGATGAGCCCCAAGTAGACAGTCAGACACTGACAGGGAGAATGGGAAAAATAAGCATATCAGAGAATCATTTCGGTTGGAAAAGACCTTCAAGATCAAGATCATCCACACATCTCTTACATACCCTCAAGGATTGAGATTCCACTACTTCCCCGGGAAGCCTGTTCCACTGCCTAACCACTCATGAAGAAATTTTTACTGATGTCCAAACTAAACCTTACTGGTGCAACTTCGGGCAGCTTCCTTGTGTCTCACTGCTTACCATTTGGGAAAAGAGCAGAATCTCCTCACCATAACCTCCATTCAGTAGTTACAGAGCACGATGGGCTCTCCCTTCAGCCTCCCCTACTCCAGACTAAACAGCCCCACTTTCCTCAGCAGCTCCTCATATGTCTTGTTCTCCAGCCCCTTCACCAGCTTCACTGCTCTTCTCTGCACACCCTCAAGCACCTCCTCACCTCAATGATCTTCTGGTAGTGAGGGGCCCAAACTGAACAGGATCTTTGAAGTAAGGCCTCCTTGTGCCATTGCCATGCTTAAACATTACTAAGTGATCTCGCCAGAGTAAGAGAAATTGGATTACTAGCAGATAGCAGGACAGATTACATCACAAAAACACAGGTTTCTTACAGCAAGCAAGGAAGGTAATTTATGAAGAAACTTGCCATGAACATACCTATTTAGAATAAAGATAGAATGGGAAAGCTCATGGAGGGGAAAAAACCCATCTGTAGGATCCAGAGTTGTTATATTATCTGTTTCTGATGTTTCAAAGCTTACTGTGAGAAGGATTTGGGAACACATCATTGTGGGGATGGCTCTCCTACAACATTATTTAGTGAGCTAAGTACTGTTATGGTATTTGACAAGAAGAAACCTCAGAAAAAAATATAGTTTTTTAACTGGAAGGATTCTGTTAACATCTGCATAAGGAGGAATGTTCCAAAGCGCTATATAACATTCTTTTAAATGAATTATTGTTTGCTTTCTGTTAATATATACACTAATACAGATACCATACAAACAAGTAAACCTGCTGCATTACATGCATGGATTTATTTTGCAGTAGTGCTCACAGGCAAACCACAGTGCACAGCACAGATGAACCCAGCACAGTATGACAGAAAAAATATCAAAGATCTTGCCTTGGAAAGTGCTCAGGGAGTCTAGAAGACATAACAACTGATGATAAGCAAGTCAGATCAGAGGAATTAAGGAATTAGAAAGAGGTGAAAATAAAGCACATCAGTTTTTACTGAGACTTGAAGCAACAGTAAGGAAGGACCCATTAGCCCTGTTTGTCTTACATGGAGCTGTATGCACCATGGAACACGTTATGTTAGCAAGGACACGATAAATCTTGCAGAGATTTTGGTTGGGAGCTTTTCCCTTGATAGTGTAAGAATGGCATAGAGCAAAATAGGGTAGGGTTTGGCAGAGAAATGGCAAGAGACATGACTGGGGCACAATCAGTGCCACAATGAACAGCAATGGAAGATCGTGAATTGGATAAATGGAGCTAAGACTTCACAAAGACCTGAACTGCCTGTGGAAGTCAGTAGGCAGCAGTATGCTTTTGAATTAAGAGCATTTACGTGTAGATAAGAAATGGAAGCCACTCCAGTTGCAAAGAAACAAGTTGATAACTGCACTGACAGCAGAAATTAAATGGAGCAAACTTCTGAAATATTACCAATGCTAAAATGGCAAGAATGGACATTGTCTACTGGACAATGCTGACAAACCAGCAGTCCATTGGTGGTACTGAAAGGAAAGTTTTGGGGAGCGAATAATGAAGATTGTAAGAAATCCCAAATCACAATTTTTTCAGAAAAGGTAAGAAATTGTGAATATTTTTCAGATAAAAACAGGCATAAAAGATTATTTTTCAGAGGTATAAAATAAACAAGAGAAGCAACGCCAACTTTACTGTTGGATGAAATATAAACTACCATTATTACTGATGCTAGCTTATCCTTTTGGTGTTCAGTTTTGGTGCCAATGGTTCATCATCACTGAATTGCATGCCGTGTTGGCTAGAAGAGTGGAATCTGTGTTGAAAGGAGCATCTTCCTTTGTATGGGGACGAAGTCGCACGACTAATGCAAATTCCAACAAAGCTGTGCGTGGGAGTACCACTCATTTGCACACTTTAAGAATGAAGAGAAACAAATACCCGAATTTAATAACTTGAACAATCTTGAAGTGTTATCAAAATGTCCAACACCCTAAAATCACGTTTCTTCATTGCTGAACTATCAAGTTTTTGCAGGGTTTTTTGCTGCTTTCTTTTTCCTTTGCTTTTTGCTTTGTTTTGACAGCAGATGATTACACAGAAGTTCAGAGCCGTACACAGGCAGGATGCTAAACAAAGAACTACAAAAGACATGAACTATGTCAGTAACACTACCCCATCTGAACTACAGAGAATAAACTACCAGTGGTACAAGAAAGCAAAAATGTGGCTATCAAAAAAAAACTTATGTTCAGATTGCAGAGCTTCTGGAATGGCTTTGTCTATATTCTTGTAAGAGAAATAGGGAAGGAGGAAATAGTTTATTGTTTTAGAAATCAGAAATGCTGGATGAATTTCCGTAATCAAGGGTAAGTACAAAAGGACAGAAGTTTCTATTTTAAGGGGCTTTGACTGAATAGATTTCAAAAATTAAAACTACTTGAAACTAGAAAAAAAATCTTCTGAAATTTAATTTAATTATCTCTTTACATCTAGCTGTAGCTGCACCCTTATCCCAGTGCTTCCATCTTGTAGTTTGCTATAAAAATAACTACCCATCAACACATAAAATCCATACGTTGCTTTAGCTCTGTTTCATGAGATAGGCTCACAAAACTTCTCTTAAAGTTTAAATAATAAAAGAGAGATTTTGATACCTGGGAATAGAAAATTGATCTTCACAAATCACAACTAATTCTACCTGAATGATGCATTTTAACGAACATCTCCTGAATTTCTGCTTGAATACTGGTGTATCATTTCAAGATAACAGATCCTTGTTAAGAGTGACTTTAATTTGCAGTGGAGAGATACTGACAGTCAGTGCTTTCCTAGGCAAAAATACCTCAAGTTTCCTTCTAGCAAGAAAACATTTTCCAAACGACGATTTTGAAGCTACCTTGTGTCTTCTGTTCAAGTGCAAGATAATCTATCAGCAGAACAGAGCACAGCCAGTACCAGAATGGAACACCTCCTTACCTTTCTGTGGCCTGATGATAAAAGATTGTGTGGCTCCATTCACCAGTCGGCAATATCCGTCTATCAAGTCAGCCATATTCTCTGCAATGGTTAAGGATGGTGCTGTCACTGTCAGAGGCTGAAGAAAGAAAAAAACAAGGCACCAAACAAAGAGGTATTATTGTAGCTGCAAACACTGAGTAGAACAGCTGTGTCATTGCATCAGAACTTTACATACACTTGGCAAAGAGTAAACAGAAAAATGTGAATAAGCAAAGAACTATCAGATTCTTGCTTTACTTAATACATAGCACAGCTTAAAAACCCTCCATCCAAATGTAAGATTGATATGGGTCGAGTCAGTGGCTTGCTGGGCAAACTTTCAGTCAATCACTGATCACTACCATTAAGGCCACTACTGGATACTACTGGATACACTACAACTACTGGATACACTACCACTACTTTAAGACTCTAATCATAACAACTACGTAGAAGCTGTTTATTCTGTAGAATAACATACATTAGGTCATAGCTGTATGCATTTTGTATGTTGGCTAAACACAGTCCTGTGAACATCAAAAAACATACAGCCTTGCCTTCCATTTTGATTAAGAAATTTGAGACCAGGTTTCAAGATTGCCCCCAAAATCATCAATTTATGTATGTGACTCCATTTGTAGTCAATATAAATATATGACCTGCAAATTTTCAAATACAACATATCGATACCCAACACAGAAGTGATCATGCCCCTTCATCAGACTTTCCTAGGCTCTACCTCACTAGAGAAAAATATCCTTTCCTTCACAACCACATCTTATGTGGTTGACTAAAAGTCATCACTTTTTGGCAGTGTTCACAAATTTTGAACAACTGTCAAGGATAAAGTATAGCAAGATTAAATATCATCAAAAATCTCTGATGAGCCCCTTGAGACCTCACTCAGAACTGCAACCACTTCCATCAACCTGATTGAATAATCAGACTGATGTATAATTTCACAAAAACAAGGCCAAATATCCCACTGGTTTTGTTTTTTATCTTTTTTTCTAAACATTTAAATAAGAATATTAAAATTCAAAGTGTTTTGCTACTTACATATTAACTATATTGCGTATTTTACAAGGGCTGCTCTGAAAGTAATGCCTCTTGTTTTATGATGTTGGGCAATGATGTCATATGCAGATGTTGGGTAGTGCAGCAGAGCTGCAATCTTCCCACCAGTATTCCGTTACATTTTGCTGCCATGTGACAGATGGCAGCAAAGGGGCAGTCTGACTAAATAGCATCTGACATGGAACTGTGTATGAAGAAAAGGTGTGCCACTGAATTCCTCCACACAGAAAAAAAGGCACCCACTGACATTCATTGATGCTCATGAACGTTTATGTTGACCAAACAGTGGCTGTGAGTACAGTGAGGCACTGGGTGCTGTGTTGCAGCAGTGGTGACAGACTTCGGTACATCTCCACTGGTGCACATTTTTACGAGCACAGCATGCTCCTGTTCACTGCTGGTGAAGATGCACAGCTAACAGTCATGACTGTAAGGAAAAGTAGTATTTTGCAGCTGAGAATCTGCTACAACAAATCACAGAATCACAGGATCACCAAGGTTGGAAAAGACCTACAAGATCATCCAGTCCAACTATCCACCTATCATCAACAGTTCTCACTAAACCATATCCCTCAACACAACATCCAAACGCTTCTTAAACACCTCCAGGGTCAGTGACTCCAAACTTCCCTGAGCAGCCAGGGATACAAATAGTGTCACTGTACTCTTTGCATCAGTTGTAGTTCCTATGCAAACAAATAGGTGGCGTTACTTTCCGAGCAACCTACCCATATGTGGCCCAAAACAATTCCTCTTCACTCAAAGTGGCCTGGCAAGTCAAAAGGTTGGACACCCATGTCTAAGGTGGTATCTTCTTTCCTATCCTTTTGCAACAATTTGTTCTTTATTTTAAAAAGTAACCCCAACTTCAAAATAAACTGAAATTAAGAAGGGACAGAAAAGGAGTGGAAGAGGTTTTGCACACAGGCAAACTACCAACTTTAATAACACTGATATTGGAATCATATATGGTTTGGGTTGCAATGGACCTTTAAGATCAACCAGTTCCAACCCCCCTGCTATAAGACACCTCCTTCTAGACCAAGTTGCTCAAAGCCCCATTCAGTTGGCCTCGACTGCTTCCACGGAGGGGGCTTTCACAACCTCACTGGGCAACCTGTTCCAGTGTCTCACTGCTCTCACAGTAAAGAATTTCTTCCTGTTACCTAGTCCAAATCTACCCTCTTCCAGTTTAAAACCTTTTTTGTCACTACATGTCCCTCCAAAAAGCAAAGATTCATCCTTTGCACAGATTTGCAAACAGTGGATGAAAACTTCAACAGTAGATGAAATCTTTGTATGCACGTGTAGTTCAGCTGTCCTCAGCTTAAACTTGCGTATGAAAACATGAAGCATACTACTGGGACAATATATTTGTCAATTAGGCCGACAGAAGAAAAATTCAGAATATTAAAGCCAGAACATGAGCGAGGACAACATACCAAGAGAGTACTGTAAATTAGAAGAATAAAAATTCCTTTTTTACTTAAGGAATGTAAAAGAAATCTAGTTTATTATAGTTGCCAACTATCATACCTCAGGTGCACCAGCTATCTTCAGTTGCAACATCCCTTTTCTGTCCTTGTCTTCACTGTTTGAATACTGAATAGTTTGTACTTGATTAAAATCTGCCAGGTGAGTTGGCTGCAGGAAGACAACAGAAAAAATGTCAAAATCAAAGCAAAATAGTTTGGATTTACTCCTGAAACACATATTTGTTTGTTTGTTTTTTTATTTCTGAATTACACTTTTGGAAGTCTGTTTTTCTTTCCACAATCACTGGGCTTTTCAATTTTGTTATTTTGCATTTACAAACTCGCATATGAAACCAAGCACCAAAGCTTCCTACAGAGGTCACTGTTGAGTAACTCTATGCACACGCTGAAGAACATCAGAAACAAATTTTTGGAGGTCAAAATCAAAAATTTAAGATACCCACACGGTATCTGCACTCAGAGCATGGATTCATATCATCAGACTGCTGTAAGAGACACATTTTTAGCTGGTTACATAATTCAGCTCTCTAAATAGTTCCACTACCTTTGAACACTTCTCTTAACAGAAGTTGGACATACACTCAACTTGCATCTTGACTGTCAAGGTCCCAAACACTTTCCTGAGGCAACTTACACCATAAATACTGTAAAATGGTCAACATCATGCAATAAAAAAGCTGTTAAGAGCACAAATTAAAACAAACCAACAATGTCAGCACAAACACTACATACCAACTAACCAAGGTTTTTATTTGCACATTCTCCCTAGGAAAGGGGGGGATAATTTAAAATAATCTGCACTTTTCTTGTTCAAGTCACCACTAACACTTCAAATTCTAAGAGACCACTTCAGTGGGTACAAAGGATAAAAAAATGGAGTGGCTAAGGCTGACCCCATCTCTCTACTTAATAGTGTTTTCTCCACCCCAAATCATGAGTTAGTATCTGAAGAACAGCACTATGTGTTGAATTTCCCAGCTCTTCTGAGTTTGACTTGAACATCAGATTTGTCATTCCTCTTTGTGTGATGTTCAACTCACAACAAGTCACAGCTGTTAAGTCAGTAAGAGAGCGAAGAGAACAGAAACAGACTTACATTTGCACCCTTGTCTGTAAGGTAGCTGATTCCTTCCTCTGGGCCAATTGCCAGCTCCACTGAAATAATCCAGCTTGACTTCAAATTGATGGAGAAAGATAAGGCAAATTTCAGCATGTTTAAAGGAACACTATCCCCCAGTGTTATCAATGTAGTTTTCAGTAATTCATCTCTAAAAACTTCTACACTCCTCAAACATTGCAAGATAGTAAAATAAAATAGTTCTTCAAGTAGCAAAACTTCTGTTGACAGGCTTCCTGGGGATCTGTTTCAATCAGTACAAGTTCCCATGTGTTCTATTTTATGTCTGTTTGAAAACTATATACTTCTTTTATTTCCTCTTCTTTCCTCACGGTCACTGATGTTCACGTTCTAATTTCTATTCAAGTATCTCTTTCTATCTAAATATCTACTTTCACAAAAGTTGGAAACTTAAGGCCTTTTTCGAACTTTACTTGAAAGTGGTAGAGATGGATGGGCATTAGAGAAAAATTTACAAACGTAAGAGGCTAAGAAGTCTCACCTCCTCAGGAAACGAAGGAAATAATTGCTCAGTTATCTATCACAAATGAAAAACCAACAATTTTTATCAGACTAATAAATGCTGCTTTTTAACAGTGAACTGAGAAAATCACAGAATCAACAAATATGTCATATATTTACATTTTTAATATTTATCTACTCTATTCTCTACATCATCTGGTAAACTAAACAAGCAATTAACTGTAGAATTAAGAAAACCAATGTAACTTTGAACTACCACAGTATCCTGGTGACTGCAGCGTTCCTTTACTTACACCAAGAGCACACTTGAAGCATTCCTTGTCAAATCTGTACACTGGAGAGAGGATCTCAAAGAATTTCAAAATACTTTCTTCTCTGTTGAGGTTGGCAAACTGTCGAAATGTTTGTTGGATTAATTTTCGTAGTGTTTTGGCCTGTGTATGAAAATGTTTAAAAGTCAATTACGTTACACTTGATCACTGGCGGTGCATTTAAAGAGTTTCAGTTTTGACTAAACTTATAAGACAACACACTAACCTCTGCAGGAACTATTTTTTTCTATCTTCTGTACTTCTCTCAACAACTTAACTGTCTACCATTAGAAAAACACTGCCATCAGGACTGCATCTTCCTACTATGTCTTAAATTTCTATGCCGATTCTCCTGTTTTGCAATCACAGAATGGCTTGGGTTGGAAGGGACCTCATAGATCATTTAGTTCCAACACCTCTTGGGGTTGGCAACCACTAAATAAGGCACTAAATCAGGCTGTCCAGGGCCCCATCCGACCAGTCATAACTGAGCTGTAGCTTTATCTTCAACTCTGTATACAAGCATCTCAGACTATCCATAACATACTGATTCTTAACGCATGGTAAGATCGTAGAATTGGAGAATAGCTTGGGTTGAAGAGGACCACAATGATCACCTAGTTTCAACTATGTGCAGGGTCACCAACCACCAGACCAAGCTGCACAGAGCCACATCCAGCCTGCACGCACCATAAGTTTAAGATTTACAAGAAAGCAAATTGAAAATTTATGTAAAAGTTAAATTAAATATTCTAAATGAAATGTAAAAATCAAAACTAAGACTTACGAAAAGCCAAATATTTGCCTGAGGAAAACTGCCACTGACTTCACAATAAATGCAGAATATGAAATGCAATCTCTTTAACGTGCCCCAAACAGTGAAAAATCCCAAATAAAAACATCCTGACTCTAGGCACCAGAATTCACCCTGACACTGCCAACAAAAGTCATCTGTTCTAATCACAACAGCATAAGAATGCTGGTTAAGTAGTGTAGAGCAAAGTTACTCCATTTCATCACTGCTCACAGCACATAGTGCCAATATGTCAAAAACAAACGCAACTGTTGGTTTTGGGTTTTTTTTGCTTTGTTTTTTTTTTTTTCCTGGCCAAAGCTTGGACTGTGTCAAAAGTGATTAAATGGATGTTTTAAGAACATTACCTCTGGCAATACATAATTCTAATTCATCTTACAACTTATAAGAATAATGAAAGGTAAAGCCATGTTTATTTTTGCAATATGTCAAGGTTAAGACAGGAATTACCGTTGTTCCTCTACCAAAACATATCTGACTGTCCTATTGTAACAGCATTCAAGCTCTTCATTCTTTCGGTGCCTAAAATGGCTCCAGGCACTACACAAATAAAAACTTCCTTTTGGTGTTAGCACTTCCAGTCAGATTAGGCATTCAGTTTTACAACACTATGAAAGAACATTCAGAACTCTAAATAGCCCATTTTTTTTCAAAACTAGCACTAAGAAAAGAGTGTAATAGAACAATCAAACCTGCATAGTCCCATACAAAACAATGATCAGTTTTGGAATGACACTTACACGGGCTGAGAAAACTCTCAGCTCAACACATAAGCTGTATGTTATAAAATGAACAAAGAAATCTGCTGTTTTGTTGCAGCTTTGAATTAATCTGTCAGTTGAGCAGAACCTTCTACCAGCTACCAGTCAGGACGCCTCACTGCAGCCACAGTTGTCAGCACTCCAGCATAATAAACCCTTATGTGTCTCAATATCCTTTCCAATGTAGTGGAATCACAGAATCGTAGGATGGCTTGGGTTGGAAGGGACCTCAAGGATCATCAAGTTCCAACTCCCCCATCACAGGCAGGGCCACCAACCTCCCCATTTAATACTAGACCAGGCTGCCATCCCCAGAGCCCCATCCAAGCTGGCCTTGAACACCTCCAGGGATGGGGCATCTACAACCTCTCTGGGCAGCCTGTTCCAGCACCTCACCACTCTCGTAACAAAGAACTTCCTCCTGACATCTAATCTAGACCTTCCCTCCTTGAGCTTAAAACCATTCCCAAAAGTGGATGTTATCTACCTTATTCCATTAGAGATTTTTATGAGAAATAACTGCAAATGACTTCAAGAGAAATACATCTAAAATGTATTAAAATATTTCGTATGAACAATTTTTTTTCTCTGCTATTTTTCAAGGCACAGTGTAGAGAAACAGGAAAATAATTTGCAAACTAAAAAGAACCTGGTTAATACCCATTCCCCCTGCCCACTGATGGTTTAAAGTAAGTAGGTATTTTCCTCCATACAGAGGATATATCCACACAGATGCAGCTAGTACGGCACAGAAGTCAGAACTTCCCAGAGGCACTATTTACTACAGTAAACAAAGGAAAGTTTATTATTCCTCTCTAGTGAAGCAATGAAAATGGAAGGCCAGTTGACTCAGTAACTTCCTGTGTGCTTGATTTAGATTGACTTATACTTTCTTGAGCGTGAATAACCAGTGCTATTAGCAGGATATATGCGATACAGGGCTCTGAGCTCCCTCCTTCATTGTGGAGAGAACTCCCTTGGCACCTCGGGGTCAGCACTTGCTTTCTTTCACAACATCATTACACTCTGTGCTCTGGCAATATATCAGTATATCAAATGCCTCCTTTTTAAACTCACGTTTGTCTTCTAATACTTTGCACTGTTAAGCATTTTAAATCTCATTATCACAGCTTTTTGGTCCTCCTCTACATAGGGTGAAACTCTCTGTACAGTTGTCGTCTTCTAAATGTGTAGATCAACCAATTTCATTAACACTGCAAGACACTGCAAGTTGTACCTTGCTATTAGTGAGACGCACTTGTTTTTATATTTAATGGCCATCAGGAGCCCTCCCTTGTCAGCCAGTTCAAAACCACTCCTCTTTTCTTCACAAACTAAAGGACACATTCAATTATTTGAACTAATTCTAACTTATCTTTAATAGGGATATCATTTTCATTAAAAATCAAGACTCATTTTTTCATCCCTCGCTTTTCTCTTCAGATACCCAGCGTTTCTTCACATCTACACAAGTTTCTGCACAGCTTCACCTTATGGCAATTCCTGCTACTTCTTCCAACCATTCATTTCTTAATTTCTGAAGAGCAATTTTCTTTGTCAGTTTTCTGGCTCCCTAATATTATTTTCTGAGGCATTTATTCAGTCATTTATGTCTGGAGCCTTGCACCACAATTTCTCCCTTTAGCAGTTCCAGATAATTTCTTAAATTAAAATGCAGACGGATTACTTAAATCCACTTGACTTCATTAGTTTCTGGTTTTCAGAATTCTTTTGAAACAAAATCCATTCATGACAGACCTTTGCTGTTTATCCTACCATTTAAATAACAATGAATAATCTTCATAAATCTGAAGCTAAATTCTATTTGTAACTCCTCTATAAAACCATCACTACTTACCAAAACGAGCTCTAAAACAACAATTTATGATTTATATTTGCATATATGAACTGCAGATGTATTTTACTGCGATATCCATATCTAGACTACTACAGCTGTAACACCACTTGGAGACTGCTTAACCCTCCCTGTTTCAGGCTACGCCAGGAAAAATTTGCATTTTTTACTCTGGGAACATATGGACTTCAATGAGAGTGAGATCTGACTAATGCTTATAGTCCCAACTAGGATTAACATAAATGGAAATGGCTGGAAATCTTCCTTGAATGAGCTGGCTACAGGCTTGAGCATGAAAGGCAGAATTCGGTTCATCAAGCTGATGCTAAAAGTACGCTTTTTTTTCTTGTATGCCCCCATCCTCCTTCTCCAGAAGCCTCATTCCTCTTTTAAGAAAGAAAAATAAGTTATTTGGTAGCAGATCTGAAGACTTGTTTTAAGCTTTTTGTCTTCAAGGTTAGAGGGGCACTTCACCCACATCAGCTCAGCAAGGACACGTAATCACTGGCTTGGTTCTTCCAGTTGCACGCTTCCACTTGAACTACAGAGATTTATGTCCTACCAATTTGACAGGCAGCTTTGACATTTTTTTCAGCAAGACTACAACTGCACTTACAGCTCTATATTGAAACTGATCATGCAATTTTCAAATTTCTTAAGAATCTGTTTGTTTGCTTTTCATGTAGTTGATTGGAACTATAATTACCTTCACTGAATCTAGCAAACTCTTCGGAAAAAATCGTCTTAAACCGACATCTTTTCTGAAAGAAAAAAAAAAGCACACATTTTTAATAATAATTTTTAAAAACTGCCAGATATTAGAATACTGTTTTTGAGGGTATCTTGCGTTTTTAACTAACATATGCAATATAGTAAATTACTGTCACTGTAAAGGCTTTGACAGTCTCAGAGCACCAAGTGCAGCACCATTAATCTGCTAACCATAGCCACTCTACAGCAAAGAGCAGAATTTCTAGTTTGGACTCAAAAGAATGTCAGATGTCACATCCTGGTGTAGAATGCTGGCTCTGGCACAGTGAAGCTTTGAGAATAGCAACCATTGACTGTACATTTGAATAATTTAAATTATATTGAAAATATTTTCCTACTGCATTCTTACAGGTTGGTCAGCTGAGAAGGGAATGACACAAAAATGGAAAATTTTAACAAACATCTATGTGAATTTAGTAGGAGAAACAATGCAAAGGAGAGGACCTCTCATCATACCAGCTTAGTAGTTTTACCCAAGGTGGCACTGTAATTAAATTTTTAAATTTCTATGTCACTTTTTCCTCATATCAAACATCTGGCATTAGATTTCTCAGCTTTTCATTGCAAATGATCTCACTTCTTGCATTCACAAGTCAGGATCCTAGCTCTTTTCGCAAGCTAGGCTTCTATAAACTAAACTGCATCAAGCTCAATTCTTCAGACTTACAAAGAAGGATTTTCGTGGCTTAGGTGTGCAGCATCTACCTTATGTCTAACATGTATTTGTCTCACTACCAGCCAGGGAAGTTGCCTGGGGAATTACTGCCAAAAGAGAACATTATGCAGACAGGTGTACTGAGTGCTGCAATGAGCAAGGACTGGTTGTATGGACATTTGCAGAATATCTGCACAAGGAAAAAGTGACAGAAAAGATGTACATCTTTGCCTCTCAAAGGTAAAAATGGCAACTTTTTCCCCAAAAAAAAGAAAGGAATAAATTTGATCATGAGCTAACAATATCTTTAAACAAAGACCCTTTGCTGCTTCTCAAATGAGTAAGAATGCTTTCCGTGATACGACACTTTGCAGAAAGAGAATTTTTACGCCTGGCAAAGCAAGAAAAGCTGTTAGCCAGCTTGATACAGCATGTATCTGCTGCTACCTAGCCATGCAAGAGGAAAGCCAAAATTAAAGTTAACATAAAGAACTTGCTCAAAATAATGAAACAGGGTTATTTTTAAAGCTCTCTCAAAACAAACAGTATTCAATTGTACAAAATATACTAAAAACATCCTCAACCAAGAGAACCAGAATGTTCATGTGCAGCAGTGAACGCTGGCATCTGTGCCATGACAGTAAGCTGAAAGACGATAAAACTTTCATAAATGTTAATTCCTTTGATGCATTTCTTCTCAAATGCAAATTACCTGCCGTTTATCATCCCACAGTTAAATAAGTCTAACAGACTATTACCATCTAAATAACATGCAAAGACATTTTGACAAGGAATATATTAGTTTAACATTAAGCATTTTAGAGAGAGATGGTGTTTTCAAAATGAGGCACCCTCCATCACTCTGGTATTACTTATCTCAATGGTGCTGCAGCACACGGCTGCCATTCTGCTGCTGTTGTGGGTAAAGGGAATAGGAGAGTAGTTTTTGTACACATTTGTATGTAATAAACTTGGAGGAAATTCTTATGCAGAGCATAATGAAACACAACACTTAATAAAACTTGTAATAAAGCATTTAGGTTAGGCTGAAAAATTATTTACTGTAGGAGAATTTAACATAAGAACCATATAAATTCCATGCCAAGTCTACACACAGGAGAACAAGTGCTACAAATTCAAACATACAAACTGTTTTTTAAACACACAACCCTACAAACTTTCTCTCACCTCCTCAGCTGCACCACATGGGGATAAACCAGACCAAATCTGTTTTCTAAATGCCATTAAGAGGGGATTATTAGTGAGATCCTGTTCCATACATTTTTTTCAGTTTTGTATTTGGCCATTCTACTTGAGGACTTGATGTAATTTTTTTTCTTCATGTATAAACTTCAATAGGATTAATAAAAGACTAACTACAGATAGATGATACTCCTTGCTATATAACAATAAGCAGATTTAGGCAAGACATATCTTAATCTCTATTTTTCACCTCCAAGTTGAATAAAAAAATATTAGATTAACAGAACAGACTTGAACATGCTCTTCACAAAACTGTGGATGCAGCTGTTTCTTCCTGTAGCTCCCATTTGCGTACTGGTAATTATTTCTGTTCTATGCTAACAGGCTTCATGTTTATCATGAAAAAATTCTTCTTTTATCACATGAAGGCCCAACTGTTAAAGACTAGTTTGATTCTATCTCCCATTTCCCATCCCATCCCCACGGTCTTGCATGAAAAGATCAAAGATGAATATACATCAAATAGACATCTGACAAAGACAGGCAAGGAGCAATCAGATCAAATGTGAAAAAGTGCAATGCAAGAATTGCACTCAGCTGGTTAAGTGCCTCATCAGTGCTACAACCAACAAAAAAGGGAGAGAAACAAAAAGCCTCACTTGAGAAATAAATATTACTAGTGTAAGAAAATCTTTATAGGATAATTAAGGTGATAAGTCCAAACAAGTACTTTTGGCACTTTGCACAGACTCTTACAAGCTTAAAATTATTATCTACAGACACTTTAAGGTTCTTTTATGCTTCATCTCACAGAGATTTGTATGAATCCCATGCAAAACACATTTTACTTCCAAAACTGTTAGACAAAAAAGGAACGAAGTCTGGCAGTGCACAACACAACCTTTACTTTTTCTCCAGCACGACATCAAGCTGTGACATTTTACACATCATGCTTTTGTCTCCGTCTCTCACTGCAATAATTAAGTTTAAATCTGGAAGGAGAGTTACTATTTGAAAACACGTGCATTGCAAGAGACAAGTCACTGTTAACCTGGAAGTGGCCCCACACCGCTGAGCCCTACAGGAGCTCTTAATTGTTATAATCCTTAATTAATACTGTATATCATCTGTTATAAACTTTGTTTCTTTTGTCTCACTGTCTCTGAAGTTCTTAATCTCATTACTAGTGTCTATGGTTCAAGAGCTGCCAATTAACTTAAATATACCTCCCTCAAGTTCTTACTGAAATACACATAAACTGTAACCACAGCAAGTCACAAACTCTTTCTCCCAGGAGGACAACATGCTCAGGACTTGTTCAGGTCACAGTGCTTTCCTGTCTTTTTACACAACCTTTTGGCCTTTACTAACTGTTCACCTTGTTCATTTCTTGGCCCTTCTCATTCTGTTACAGGTCTCTTCACGCAGGACATTTCTGCTGGTAGCTATGGCATAAAACTGAAATCCTTCGAAAAATAACAGCAATCCAAACAAAAGCAGAACTTCTCAGTTCTGCACAGATAGAGGAACAGCGTACAACATTCAGTTATTTTTGTGAATGAATAAATTAGCTTTACCCTTCATTCAGAAGGTTGAAAGTCGGGCTTTTAAACTGGGACACTGTCCCTATCATACTCCATCTGGAAGAGCTGAATTCTAAAGATTAATCCACAGATTCCAGCAACAGTTTACACAGCCTGACATTTCTTAAGGAATTTGGATTTTATTTATTTTTACTTAATCCAATCTACCATAGAACACAATTAACAAAAATGGTTTCAATATACAGACATTTCTCAGCTGTCCAGAAATTTGTGTTGTATTAAAAAAATGAACTTTTAACTGCAAGGTCACAACTCAAATCCACATACTTAGCAAACAAAGAATGACACCACAAGCAGTTTAATTCAAACTTTACCACAGATTAGTCACAACTGAAGAATGCCAACTGTGTACAGAAAAAACATTTAGAAACAATAACACCTTAGAAATAGATTTGATGATCCCATAAACATTAGCAAAGTTGAAAAAATCATCAGCTTCATGATCAAGTTTAAACAACTTCGACTCTACTTCCCTGTAGCAGAGTTGGAAGTGTTCCTACTTGTATATTTTAGTTGGTTTAATCATCCCTATTTAATGCACTTGAAAAGCTCAACAATCTCCATGAAATAAAAAATGACAACAGAAACTTTCTTTTAAGGACCTGAAATTAAAAATTCCTGAATAAGAAACAACTCCAATGACACGCTTGAACATCATACTTACTCTAGCACTTCATAGTTGGATTTCTTTTCTAATGCATTGCCTCTCATCTCTCCGTAGGATCTCCTGAAGTCATGAAAAATATTTGAAAGGCACAATTATTGGATGACCCGGCCTAAAACCAGTCAAACCTTTCGGAGACCAACATTAGAAACCATTTATGGAACGAATTCAAGTATAAATATTCTTATGCTATTAACCTACCTCGAACAGATCTCTATTTCACAAAATAATTTCATGCACTGGAAAATGCATGGGACTATTCCAGTATCAGAAGAACTTCAACCCACTTTAATTGAGCTGCTAGTGAAAGAAGTGATCTAAACTCCTGATCAGCAGCTATCTCATAGCTACCTATTTCAGTAGGTAGCTCTCCTCTGCTCTCCCCGCTCTCCTCTGTAATAGCACTCACGTTTATGCATGTAGTAGGGGGAGCCTGACCCAGTCGCAAATGGTGAGAACCAACAGTTTCAAGCCAGATATTCACAACAGTTGTTCAAAAATATGAAATATCAAGAAGGAGTGGAAGGCTGAGAGCACTGTTTTTACTGACAAAGTGGGCCACTAACACTTGCAGTGTGAAGTCTTAGTAGTCACCTACTCACAATACTTTACCAAGGCAAAAATGGGCTGAAGAACCATGACATGCCACCCTGAGAGCCTCGGAAAGCAAAGTTTGACTGACAAAATAACTGTGGATTATGATCTTCATGGTACGTTTTGAAATCAAGCACTGGTTTTTGCCAGCATTACTATCTGCAGTCACAACAAGCACTTCTGTTTTCTCTGCGCCTACCAGCGAAACTTACAGCAAGGATATCAGGTTTTCCTACAGTGCCCACACAATTGCACAGACCTAAGTTCTATTTTATTTTGGAAAATTACTGTTTAAAGAACACTTTTATTCTGTGCTAACAAGTTCACATTTCCCATTAATTTCTTATCAAGTTTACTACATTGCTAATCTCTCTGGGCAAGACAACAGCATACGAAAAGCAAATGTATCAGGCAGGAAATTCTCCATAAATTAGCAAAGAAAAAACAACAACAAAAAAACAATCGTGCACTTCAGAAGCAGAAATGGGAACTCTCTCAAGGATCTATTAATCTGATAAACTTATCTTTATTTTCCAGCCGTGTGTACAGTTGACGAGAACAGCAAAAATCCCCAAAAGAATCACAAAGATTTAATTATTTGAAACCAGCATATTGAGTGAATGCAGACAGAAAAGGTAGCAGTGCTTATCTTGAGCATTCTTTAGATGCAAGATTTATAGGCACAATTCCAGAACTGTTTGCTAAATAACACCACAGATGAATCATTCTTTTAATGCCCTTCATTGTACCCCACAAATCTTTGGATTATTGAAACGAAGAATACATTCAACAAAAGCAAGTTAATTTTAAATATCAGTAGAAATTGAGTAGAATGCAGCCTGCCCATTTTTTGTTCAAACTACTTTATAGCAAAAAATATGATATTGAGGTGTATTGAGTAGAAATCCATGAACCATAACGAGTTACAAAATTAATGTATATATTCTGTCAGAAATATGGTGAATAATAAATAAATAACAGTCAGCTTACCTGATTTCAAGGCAACCTAGTTTCAAAGCAATTTCCTGGTCCACTTGATCTGCTATTTCTAACATATAGTCATTTTTCACCTACAGCAAAAAAAACAGGTATCATTAGTTATTAACAAGAAAAGGACAAAACTAGTGCTGAAGAACTTAACTCTGCAAATTCTTTCACACAACAGCCTTTTTTCCATCAGCAACACTTTGCCACAGTACAACTTTTATAATAGCTTATACCATGCTATGAGAGCATAAGCTAGCTATTGAGATGCTAAAGCCTCAATAAAGAAAGTCCTAAAATATCATTAAAAAAAAAACACAACAGAGAAACCACAGAACAAAGAGCAGATTATAAATTAAGAGATAAATACACTTTATGAAATGCTTTTTGAGTGATTCCAAGCTGTAAGAAAAGCCATTTCAAACTCATTTAGCTATGAAACTCCTACACTAAAAGACAGAAACACAGCAGCAGATTCAGCAGCTGGAAGCCCTCTTCAGTCAGCATCCAGTCAGTAAAGCATTAGCAGGCAAAATAACAAATGGATCAAACCCTACAAAGCAAAGCAATAAATGCATGAGTCCTTCCAGGTTATGAAGTGCAGGAAAATTTTTGTTATGGAAAGACACAGAAGAAGAAATGAGACCAACTGTGTAGCGGTGCAACTTATTACAATAGTTGCACCATCAGAAAAAGCTTCCTTCATATGAGGGACTCATTCAGCAACTCAGCATGCTGACAAAACACTAAGTTTTTAATCCAACTCAACTCCAAAATATATTAATTAGAAGTCAAAGACTTAACTAAGCATCCTTCAGCATCACGTAGTTTGCAATACTAACATATATATGAAAATGAAATTGTTGTTTTGTACTCCCACAAGAGTGATACAGAAGATATGTGGAATTAATGACACTTTTTTCATCATAATGCTTACTATTAAAAGAAAAAACAAAAAGCACAAGAAAACGTAACAAAAAAAATCTCATCCTCACGCATATGATTCCTATTTGAGCTTTTCTACATCTGTATCTTTTTTTTTTTCTTTTCTGTACCTTGCAATTACAAGCAAGGAGAGATGCATCTTTTAGGAAGTTACGATGTTTTGATTCTGTTTTCATTTTAAAGCATGAGGGCTATGAAGATGGTGGAGGGTCTAGAGGGAGCAGTGGGGCAGCACTGAGTTCTGCTCTCTGTGACAGCGACCAGGCCAAAGGGAATGGCATGGAGCTGTGTCAGGGCAGGGGCAGCTGGGGGTTAGGGAAAGGGTCTGCACCAGAGGGTGTGGGCATGGAACAGCCTGCCCAGGGCAGGGGGAAGCCCTGAGCTGCTGAGTTCAAGGAGTGTTTGGACAGTGCACTCAGATTTATGGTTGGGACAGTGTTGTTCCTGTGAGGAGCCAGGAGTTGGACTGGTTGATCCCTGTTGGTCCTTTCCAACTCAGGATGTTCCAGGATATCATTAAGTAGTATCTATTTACGTTCGTTCTCATCATACTGCACAACTGCACCTGTTTGCAATAGGATAGTATTTCTCTTCCATTATCAAGGTTTTGTTCCTCGAGTCAGAAGTATCATCCAGACACCTTGTAAATGGCAGAATGCAATAATTTAAACCAAAGGATACATATGAGCTTCGTCTGCAGTGATATGAATTTTGCTCTGCACTAAAACTGACACTCGAGCTCAGGACAGATAAATCAAGAATACAATTTTCAGGCTCCTGTGTTACTGCATCATTTCAAACTTTGCAGCACCCACTCAGATGGCACACAGCAGACTGGTTACTGTCTATTTGCAGGTCTGTACGGGGACATATGAAAACCAGGAGAAAAACTGAAAATGTGGACTTTGAGTGAATTCAGTTCCTATATGGATGCTTACATTCCAGAAACAAAGGAAGTTAAAATGAACTACAACCAAATTACTTTTTATGTCATCCATACAGAGTTTTAATGCACCTGAATTGTACTCCCAATATAAGCTTTCATTTTCTACTCCCACCCTGTCTAGGCATTAATCTCTATGGAAAGCCCAAATCACTTCCCTGAAGAAGCTAAAATACCTGCTCATGAAACCCCTTACCTAATCCACCTTTCATGAGTCCAAACCAAATACCTACTGATTAATTCACTTAATTTTTTTTTTTAAATAAAACACACACCCACTTTGGAACCATTTTAATAATTCTGCAACACCAGAAAATTTCACAGTGCTGTTATCTACTCTTTCCTTGAGGTATTCAATAAAGTACCTGCCTGCAGCAAAGCATTTTCTCAGTTCTGATATGTAAAATTTCCCCTTGCAGACACTACACTCATTCGAGGCTGCTGGTATATCATGATCAAATTTTTACTTATCTTCACAGTTCACTGCCTAGTGGCTTCCAGTACTGAAATAATTCATTTGCTAAACTGAAGAGCTTAAGAACATCCTCAGAATCACACAAACAAATTTGAAAATGCTGCTAGGCTCAAGAAACGACTATTCCATAAACAAACAAGCAAATATTTCAAGTTTTCCTTCCCCTTGCTTTCTGGCTTATGAGCTTTCAAAAACTCCACTCATGTTTTCCCAGTTCAAATTTGCAACTACAGGCACCACGACTGGACTAAAATAATTCGAAAGCCCTCCTGATCACAACAGTTTGGAAGAAAAAAACCCAGTCACGACATCCCCTCACAGAAATGAATTGCTGCACTTCATTAACATAAAGTAGTGCACACCCACCTGATCGTTTTATTTTTCAACTTTGGCAGGTATACAAAGACAGTACAAGCTTCAGGAAGCCTGTGGTCGTAACCTGGTGATCTAATTAGATGGAACGATGTTCTATTATGAACAGAAAATGTAATAAGTGGATGTAATTAATTTATATTGCTTTTTTTTTTCCCAACACTTGCCTGAACACATTCTTCTCTAAATTTCAGTAGGTTTAAGAAAAAAAGCAGATTCGATTTCTGCTCCCACATTACCAATAAGAACATCTCTTACTTTCCTTTGCCTACTATGTTAGAGCAACGCATGAACCAATCAAGGTCACATCAAGGTATGAATTTTGCAAGTTTCAGCATAACTTGCATAACATCGAGGAAAAAGCCCGAGCAAATATCAAATGGAAGAGACGTAAGAGATAATGCAACAGCAATTAAGTGTGCTGTCGTAAGACAACTGAATGGTTTTCCTTCTGTGTTTGCTCAATTATGACTATTATTCTTGCTATTAATACAGATAATGAAAATTGAGAAATTTTTTCATCTGTTTAAGAGAAAAAAGGGCTTATTCTGAAGAGCTAAATCCTGAATATATAAATAAGCAGACACAAAACTTTAACTGTCAACATATCTGAAGAGCTTGACAAGTTTTTCTTGTTTATAACTGACTCAAAAGTATGCGAAGAGGAGGATGAGCCCAGACCAGTGTTTAAAACAAGATCCCCTAAAGGCTAAATCAGAAAAACGTCACGTAGCATCAGTTTATATAAATATATGTCAAATCTCATATTCAAAAACCCATTAAAAATAAAACAAAACAAGCAAACAAACAACTGGCCAAACAAGAAAAAGCAACACAGCTTTTTTTTCACTCACTATCTGCAGTTATAGTAACTACACGACCTACCTCAAACAAGATGCTCTGGCATCAATCCACCTCTCACTTCTGAATGAGTACTACCATACAAAAGGAGCCTACCACATAAATAAGGAACCTATGAGTACTACCATATTAAGGAAGCCTATAAACAGGCAGGGAGCCAACTCTTTGAAAGGGTAGATAAGAGGACAAGGGGAAATGGTTTTCAGGTGAAAGAGGAAAGATTCAGGTTGGATATCAGGGGAAGTTCTTTACAGAGAGAGTGGTGAGGTGCTGGAACAGGCTGCCCAGAGAGGCTGTGGATGCCCCGTCCCTGGAGGTGTTCAAGGCCAGGTTGGATGGGGCCCTGGGCAGCCTGGTCTGGTATTAAATGGGGAGGTTGGTGGCCCTGCATGTGGCAGGGGGTTGGAACTTCATGATCCTTGAGGTCCCTTCCAACCCAAGCCATTCTATGATTCTATATTAGTACTGAAGTAACCGTACTTGTATTTGCCCACTTGGGCTGATGAGTAAGAACTGAAGTGCAGCCTAAGCTTCACATCAATCTCTCTGTCATGCCAACTACAGACTACTGCAACTAAGCGATGCAGTACATGAAAACTATGAATGCCAAGCAGAAACGCGCTTTTCAGATATAGGAAAAGTGTCTTTCATATGCCTTATAACATGTGGAACAAAACACATGCTGCTTGTTCAGAAAACACAAGGTTAGAAAGGAAACTAACATTTAAATACAAGAATCACAGAACGGTTTGGGTTGAAAGAATGTCACAGTCCAAAAAAAATCTAAGCCACGATATATTACGTTGACATATTAATACCCTTTTTTGACCAGTATTTACCTTTTATTCTCACCAACGCATGTTTTTCATCACTGCTCAGCCAGAACAAAAATATCTGTAATGTTTCAAGTCTTTCAAACAATAAAAGATCAGAGATACTGTTAAATCATAAGAAAAGGAGGTGAACCATGAACTAGTAAGTTTTTTTCCACAAGGAGGACATGCACGCAAACAAAACCCAGTTGCACTGGACCCTTCTGATGTCAGGCTTTAAAATATTTCTTCTTTTACTTAAAAGGACAAATTGCAGATTGCCTAACTTGTAACTTCTCAAAATTCACTAAAAAATAACAAGCACTCTGACAGCTGTATCAATGGCTAGCTATGAATGGTTCCAGCTGGTACAATTTAAAATAAAAATTGGAGACAGGGGAAAGCCCACGTTTGTGAAGATGAAGAAATCAGAGAACAGCCCTATGCTAGAATACATGATCTAAGAAGAAATCTATCATGGGCTTCATATTTTGTATACCAGCTGCTACTTTCAGAAGCCATCTGCTTCATTTTTCGGCACACAAGTTTTTTTAATGCAGCTGCAGTACTTCAGAAAAGCACTCACTTGGGCTGATGAGCCATCTTGCCACTGCAGCTCACAAAAACACAACGTGGGATTTAAATTTCTGTATTAAGAAGAAGAGTAAAACAATTTTG